CCGTCTCATTCCTGAGACACATTTCATGCTGAAAGGTGTGTTGAATTCGGACTTTGACTACTAAGGAAGCAACTGTGAAAGATGGGACATGAAATGAACTCTTCTCAGAAATGGAGCCCTGATTTAATCAGACAAGAAACACAGTGGAGATAGTTTCAGAGGACTCCAGCCATCTAGTAGAATCCTCCCAGATATCTTAATTCCAATGGTCCTATCCCACTCTTTACAAGTAATGCCTTAACTTTATTTTTATAATTTTTTTCAGAGAGGTTTTTGCTGTAGGGCACGTGCGCTCACCAGAAAGAGAGAGAGAGAGAGACAGAGAGACAGAAAGTGAGAAATCACCCCCCAGGGGGAATGGCCACACCACAATCCCTTCTCCTCTACTCTCCTCTCGGGATCGTGGGCACGCATGCACACATGCCCAGTGTGAGTTTAAGCCACCTCGTCTGGGATTTGAACTGTGGTTGGCAACATGGGAGTCCAGCGACATAGCCATTACACCAACTGCTGGTCTCAGTGCCTTAACTTTAGTACGAGAGTCTTAGAAAGATTGCCATTCACCTGGCAGTATAATCCAGCAGCCTATGGAATAAGCTGTGAGTTAATTTCTCATCATTTTGAGTTCGGAGAGTCCTTTATATATTTTAGATATAAGTTCTTTATCCTATGCAATCATTCATCCCTTAATGATGAGAATTTATTCTGAGAAATAGGTCATCGGTAATGTCGCCAATGTGCAAACATCACAGAGTGTATTTACATACCCATAGACGGGCTAGCCCACCACACACCTAGGCTATACGGTCTAGTCTCTACAAAGGGACTTCAAGAAGTTTGTGGAAAGCAGGATTACAGCACAAGTTCATTTTGGTAAAAGGAAATGGCAATCCTTTGCAACGTTTTCATAGCACACATTTTCCACGAACTTTTCAAAGACCCCATGTAGGCTCCTCATGGAACCACCGCCGCATACTGACAATGGTCCATTGAAAACGCAAACGTCACTGTGTGGTGTCTCCCCGTGCGTGACTGCACGTCTTCGGCGTATGTTCTCCTGGCCTGTGACTTGTCCTTTTATCCTCTTAACAAACCTTTTGAAGAGTAAAGTTTTTGATTTTGAAGAAACACAGTTTATCAAGACTAAAAATAACCATGTTTTACCATTAAAGAAGGTGAATGTGTGAGAGGAAGAAGGAGAGAAGAGAGAGATGAACACCCTCCATGGGGTCCGGTCATCCCGTGATCCCCTCCCCCCCATCCTCGGCCCATTGGATTTGGGGCACTCACACGCCTGCTCAGTGCCCTTCAGGCTGACTGGGTCGGGAATGCGAACCATGGTTGCCGTGTGAGATCTGGCTTCTTTTGAAGAGTGCATCATCACCGTGCCTGGTTCTACTGTTTTTCTTTTGTGGATTATGCCTTTGGCATTCTATCTGGTTTTTTTGTTTGTTTGTTTGTTTGTTTGTTTGTTTTTTGAGAGAGATTTTTGCTATAGGGCACGTGCGCTCACCAGACAGACAGAGAGACAGAAAGTGAGAAATCACCCCCCAGGGGGGATGGTCACGCCGCAATCCCTTCTCCTCCATTCTCCTCTCGGGATCTTGGGCACGCACACACACGCCTAGTGTGAGTTTAAAGCCACTGGGTCCGGGACTCGAACCATGGTCGACTACATGGGAGTCCAGTGACATAGCCATTGTGCCAACTGCTGGTCACTGCGGGAAGGTTTTTAACTGCAAATTCAATATCTTTAAAGGATGTAGACTATTCAGATGATCAAAGTTCTCAAGGGAGCTCGGTAGTTTGTATCTGTCAGTGCACTCACACGTCTCATCTAAGGTTTTCAATTTACTGGCCGCAAGTCCCGATATTACTCTTTGGAAATCTGTGTTTAAGCTGTAGAGCTATTACCCTTCTCTTTTGTGAGGTTGGTAGTTTGTGTCTTTTCTCTTTTTTGCCTGACCACTCTGTCTAGAAGTTTATCGATTTTATTGATCTTTTCAAGAACTAGCTTTGCGTTGCCTTGATTTTCCTTAGTGTTTTTCTTATTGATTTCTGTTCTTTTCTTTATCATATCCTTTCTCCTGCTTAATTTGAATTTAATTTGTTCCTTTTCTAGTCTTTAAAGTAAACACTGAAGTCACTGATCTGAGATTTTCTCTTCTCTAATATAGACACTTAGTGTTAGAAATTTCTTCCTAAGTACTGCATGAGGGGCAGTCCACAAATCCTATATTGTATTTAATTTTTTATCCAGTTCAAAATACTTTCTGACTCTTTTTTTTTTTCCTTTTTTAGAGTGACTTTTATTATAGGGCGCGTATATTCTCCAGAGAAAAAGAGAGAGACAGAGATATCCCCCCTGGGGAATGGCCATGCCACAATCCCTTCTGCATTGTCTTCTTGGGATTTTGGTTATGCATACACACATGCTTGGCGTGAATTTTAAGCTCCTGGGTTCGGGACTCAAACCAGCGGTCAACTACGTGGGTATCCTGCAATGTAACCATTCACCAATTGCTAGTTCCCTGACTCCTGTTTTGATTTCTTCTTTGACCCATGGATTATTCAGAAGTGGGATTTTCTTTTTTCTTTTTCTTTTTTTTTTTTTTTTTGAGAGGTTTTTGCTATAGGGTGCTTGCGCTTGCCAGACAGAGAGAGACAGAGAGACAGAAAAAGAGAAATCACCCCCCAGGGAGGATGGCCACACCACAATCCCTTCTCCTCCATTCTCCTCTCGGGATCCTGGGCACGCACGCACACATGCCCGGCGTGAGTTTTAAGCCACCGGGTCCAGGACGCAAACCGTGGTTGACTACGTGGGAGTCCAGCGACATAGCCATTACGCTAATTGCTGGTCCCGGGATTTTCATTTTGACTAACTCTGCACTCCGCTTTGGTGAGGGGATGTGCTGTCTGACCATGTGCCCACTCTGTGGAAAAGCTGGTCTTTGGTGTGAGACAGTGACTTGGACACAGATGGAGAAGAAGAGATGGAAGACGAGGAGAGTATTCAGGACGTTCCCTATTTCAGGGCTCCCTGAGACCCATCTCCAGCCACACCCGACCTCAGAGACCAGCCTTCCCGTGTGATGAGAAGCATCGCCAACCCTTGGAGCTGCATTTGGGGCTGTGAGTTGATACAAGTTTAGATTTCATCTCCTCAGAGTGAGTCGTAAATCAGGATTCTGCTTTTAGAAAAGTTGCCGTTCCTCAAGCTTTGTTTCCATATTTTATGACAGAATGGTGAGTCTCAGAAAGAAATATCACCCTTTTAGAAGCCATGATGGATCACATTGGACAGACTTTGAGGCATCTACATATTTATTGATAGGTTCCTGAAAGTTATTATCAGTCCTTCAAACATTCCTCCCCCGATTCCTACCTACATGTCCATATCAGACAAAATTTCCCGATTGCGAGCCTTACTCTGTGTGTGATCTCCGCATTAATAATAGCAGAAGCATCGCTCAGACTCGCTACCCAAACCTGTGCAGTGCAGATGTCAGGCAGAAGCGGGTCTCGCTTGTTCTCTTTTTTGAAGAAAAAAAAATTGCTATGGGGCACGTGTGCTTGCCAGAGAGAGGGCAGGAGGAAGTGAGAAATCATCCCTAGGAAGAGGACCATGCTGCGGTCCCTTCTCGGGATGTTGAGCACACATGCACATGCATCTAGCATGTTTTTCAAGACACTAGGTTTGGGATTGGAACCTCACAATTGGCCACATGAGGTCCAGCCACCCTCACCAGCATGCCACTGGCTGGCCTGAGGCTCTCTTTAGAATGACCCCAGTCTGGGACTGGCAGTTGACATACTAGTTACATTGCTGGACTCCCATGTAGCCAACCATGATTCAAGTCCTAGACCTGGTAGCTTAAAGCTCATGCAGGGCACGTGTGCGTGCATGCCCGAGATCCCGAGAGGAGAAGGGATTGCAGCGTGGCCGTCCTCCCTGAGGGTGTGTGTGTGTGTGATTTCTTGCCTTTTGTCTCTCTCTCTCTCTCTCTCTGTCTTTCTGTCTAGCACATGAACCCTATAGTAAAATCTCTCAAAAAAAAATTGCTGTAGGGCATGTGTGCTCACTGAAGAGGAAGGAGAGGGGGAGAGAAAGAAAGCACAACCAGGGGAGATAGCCATGCCACAATTCCTTCTCCTCCATTCTCCTCTCAAGATTTTGAGCATGCCTGTACACACACTGGCATGTTTTTCAAATCACGGCATCTGGGATTCAATCGTGCATTTGGCCATGTGGGGTCCAGCAGCCTTAACCACCCTGCCACCTGACTGTCCTTGAACAGTATTAATTCTTACATCCCAACGTTAAACCTGTGTGGGAATGATTATTTTTGTTTTCTTTCTTTTTCTCTTTCTCTTTCTTTCTTTCTTTCTTTCTTTCTTTCTTTCTTTCTTTCTTTCTTTCTTTCTTTCTTTCTTTCCTTCCTTCCTTCCTCCCTTCTTTCTTTCTTTTTCTCTTCCTTTCTTTCTTCTTTTCTTTCTTTCAGATGTTTTTGCCTTAAGGTGCATGCACTCACTGGGGACAGAGAGACAGAGACAGTAAGAGGTAAAGTGAGAAATCACCCTCCAGGGGGATGGCCATACAGCCATCCCTTTTCCCCCATTCTCCTCCTGGGATTTTGGGCATACACACACGTGCCTGGCATGAGTTTTAAACTACTGGATCTGGGGCCCAAACCACAGTTGGCTACATGGGAGTCCAGTGACATAACCGCTACACTATCTGCTGGTCCCTCATTTTTGTTTCTCTATATCTGAATCTAAATTGCCTCTGGAAGTTTAACTGTCCTCCTTACCTATGGATATATTTTATTCCGCCATAGATGCATTATTCATCTACATGGCCTTTGTGGTCCCTAGATGTCTTCCTAAAGCATTCTTGGTTAGCAAAACTTGGTGTGACATCATGATGACACCACAATAGAGGCTGCAGCTGTTGTCACTGAAGGTTTCTATGCCCTCATTTCCTGGCAAGGATTAGACACAGACATACATGGCATGGTCAAGGACCAAGACAGAGGCTCTGTGACTTCACAGGATGGAGGATGGAAAACAAAGGTAATTAGAGTCCACAGATCAGGGTATTCCTGTTGGAACTCTTGCTTGGAGAGCCCAAGGGTTTGGGAGGCTTGAAGAACTGGACCTGAGAAGTAATTTTATTACGTATGTAGTGGATGTGGACTGAGCAGCCACGCAGGGAAGTCAGGGAGAAGCCCGGGGAGCTGAGTTTCTCAGAACACATTGGGCCCAAATGGGATTGTGTGAGTAGTCCTTCAGCCACTTCTGCTTAATCTGCGAGTCTGAAGAGATGGATTTATGAAGTCCTAGTTGGCTTGGTCTTTGGGGACTTTTATACCCAGTCTAATGACATCACTCTAATTCTTCTCATCATAGGGAAGCATCTAGAACAGAGGGACACAAACCTGGGTGGAGGCTTTGTCTTAAGTAGTTGAATGACTTTGGTGAAGTCATTTCGTCTTTATAATCTTCCCTTTCTAATCTGTTGTCTGTTATTGGCCCAGCTACTCTCTAGATGCCTTCCAGCTCTGAGAGTCTGTATTTACTGGGTAGCAGAATAGTTAAGGTACCAGACTATGGAGCCAGACTGCAGGGTTCAGGGCCTAGTCTGCCATCATCCCGCTGTTTGACTTTGGACAAGTTACTTAAGTTCTCTGTACCTCCCTTCCCTTACCTGTGGAGTGGAGGTAATAATAGGACAGACAAGTATCAGGTTCATATCCTGAGTCCTCCCTGCACCAGTCAGGTACATGCATGCCTGAGATCCAGGCTGGCTGACGCTGAGGGTGAATAGCAATGTGAAGATGCTGTTGGGGAAACTTATTTCTCTCTTGTGGAAGAAATAATAAATAAACTTAAATAATAATAATAATAAAACAACAGCCAACTCATGGGGCCATTGTGAGGATTAGATGACAGAATCAAGAAACGTTAGTCATTTCTATTACCAGGACTCTGTGACCTATAGTAGGGGGTTCAAGTCGGTCATTCTCTGAGATTGAAGGTCCTAGTTCTTGCAACAATTTGGTTTGGGCCTTGAGGACTCAGCCTTAGTGACTTAGTGTACTGCCTTAGAGAGCAGGCGAGGTGAAGTTAGAGGAAGCTGGATGACATATAATCGATTCTTTGGCTTCTGGCCTTCATGAGTGTAGCTTGGTAGATGCATGTCTAGCTAGTCATCCCGTCATTTCTCTTTTCTGCAAGGCCTTGGCAAATATCATACTATTTAAAAAATATATTTAATTATTATTTTGCTATAGGGCACATGAACTCACCATAGAGGGGCAACAGATGGCGTAAAGGTTACATCACTGGACCCACATGTAGTCAACTGTGGTTCGAGTCCTGGACCCAGTGGCTTAAAACTCACACCAGGCGTATGTGCATGCCCCAAATCTCAAGAGGAGAATGGAGGAGAAGGGGTTGTGGTGTGGCCAACCCCACCCCCGGGAGGGGGGTGCTGTGATTTCTCGCTTTCTGTCTTTCTGATCCCACATGGCCAACTGAACAGTTTGAATCCCAGACCTGGTGGTTTGAAAACCATGCCAGGTGTGTGTGTGTGCATGTGTGAACACGCACCCAAAAATCCCAAAGGGAGGGAGAAATGGAAGAGAAGGGCTTGTGGCATCATCCCCACGGGGAGTGTTTTCTCGCTTTCCCTCTCTCTCCCGCTTTCTCTCCCCTTCTCTCTGTGGCGAGCACATATGTCCTCTGGCAAAAATTTTTAAAAAAATAATTTAAAAACAAATGTAACACAATTGGAGTGTTGAGGGGTTGCCTCATGAGAAGTAAAGAGAAGTCTCAAGCGTGCAGAAATAATATTGGGTCATTGGAAAAGTCATGACACATTTTTACATAGGAAAACATAGAAAAATACATCATGACTTTTCCACTGACCCAACAGCAGATAGAAGGAGCAGCCTCTACCTCTGTGGCCAAGAGACATGGGAGAATGAGACACCACCCTCTCTAGGGCCAACCTGAGAACCAGCACAGCCGTGGCTCACTGGATGGCAGAAGAGTCGAGTGGTGTGGCACTTGCAAAACTGGCTGGAAACCTGCTGTCTAGGATGTTGGGGAGAGCTGGTCACAGGAGGTTCCTCCCTGGAGGCCTCCAGGAGAATACCCTAAGGGGGGTGGGGTGCTGGGGAAGGGGGAAGCTGCTGCCTACCATGCACTGCAGGAGCTGCGCACCGGGCAGCCACGGATGTGCTGCAGGAACTTGACGAGGGAAACACCCGGAACAAGGACAGAGTGCTTCCTTCTGTGGTCTCTGTCCTGTGTCCTCCATTGATGAAATTTGGCGTAATACCATCTGACAATGAGAAATAATATTTCAAGTGCCCAGATCAATTTTCACCAGCAGACAATAAACGGTGAATTAGAAGGCAATACATTGCTAACTGGTCCAAGTGCAATCTATTCCCATTGTAATGGTGAATGGGTATTTCTTCATGGGTTTCCTCTTTGTGTAGGTAGTTCAAGGCCCATGCCCCCTTCTAGTCTTCCAGAGTTATAATGGCTTTAACCCACAGGGCACAGAACTCCAAACATTCAGTTATAACATTCCTTGAGCTGTCTAGCTTCTTTGAACCTCTTTTTATTTATTTTTTTTTAAGAGAGAGTTTTGCTATAAGGCAAGTGTACTCACCAGAGACACAGAGAGAAACAGAGAGACAGAAAGTGAGAAGTCACCCTCCAGGGTGGAGGCCACACCACAGTTGCTTCCTCCATTCTCCTCTCAGGATTTTGGGCACACACGCACATGTGCCTGGCTTGAGTTTTAAGCCACCAGGTCCGGGACTTGAACCATGGTTGACTACATGGGAGTCCAGTAATATAACCATCTGCTGGTCCCTGAAACTCTGCTTTTTAACTTGCACCTGAAAAGAACCTTTTCTTAATTTTGAACTTTTCTATGTTTTCAACTTTTGTTGTTTTATTTCTGGAATCAGAGCATATCTCTTTATTTCAGTTCAGGCTGCCTCCTTAACTGAAAATTCACCCTCAATGAACACATAAACAGAGAAAGTAGGAAAGGGTATTTAAACTTTAGTTTGCAAGTCCAAGAAGTGGTTTCGTAAATACAGAAACAGGTAAGACTACCTCTTAGGCTTTTCCTCATAGGCCTGATACATTGAAGTTTGAATTGGCTTTTAAATTTCCTAAATAAGCGAATATCTAAATTATGTTTGCAGAAAGGAGGAAGACACCTTTATATTCTCAATAAAATATTTACTTTTCATTAACTATTTATTTCAGGTGATAAAGATAAATAATGCACGACCACTGCAAAAATTTTTGACTAGTAGAGGGAAAAAATATACCCTCAACTTTTTATTATAAAACATTTCGAATATGTGGAAAATTTGAAAGACTAAATAATGTCATGAACACTACATCATTTCTGGACACGAGTCATTCACTGATAACACACTACCGCTTTGCTTTATAGCTCTCTCTAGATATCTGCATGCATGCAAATACACATGCATAAATACACGTTAAAAATAAACTGAAAAAAAAATTGGGAACCAGTAGTTAGCGTAATGGCTATGTCGCTGGACTCCCACGTAGTCGACCGCGGTTCGCGTCCCGGACCCAGTGGCTTAAAACTCACACCGGGCGCGTGTGCGTGCGTACCCAAGATCCCGAGAGGAGAATGGAGGAGAAGGGATTGCGGCGTGACCATCCCCCTTGGGGGGTGATTTCTCGCTTTCTGTCTCTATGTCTCTCTCTGTCTGTCTGGTGAGCGCACGCGCCCTATAGTGAAAACCTCTCCAAATAAAATAAAATAAAATAAACTGAAAAAAAATTCACAACATCATAACACTCACTCCTGAGTACTTTAATGTACATTTCTTAAAATACAAGGGCATATTTCTACCCAACCATTAATGTCATTATTACACCTAAATTAGTAATAATTTTCTAATATACAGCTCATATTTAAATGTACCCAACTTTTCCATGAAGGAAATGTTAAAAAAAAATAAAAAAGGTCTGGGGCTGACAGGTGGCGTGGTGGTTAAGGTGCTGGACTCGCACATGGCCGATTGTGGTTCAAGTTCCAGACCTGCTGGCTTGCTTTCTCATTTTCCCTCTCTCTGGTTAAATTAAAGTAATTATAATAATAATAAAAATAAAATAAAGTAATTAAAAAATAGATCCGATTTAGACTTACGCACATTTTGAAGGGGCCATGATAGATTATAGAATGTCCTACATTCCTGATTTGTAGTTACACAATCATGGTGTTCATTTGTTTCTCTGCCCCCTTGTTTCCTCTGAACTAAAAGTTAAAAATAGACTTTTAGGGACCACAGATGGCATAGCAGTTATGTTGCTGGACTTCCACATGATTGACCTCAGTTCAAGTCCTGGACCTGGTGGTTTGAAAATCACACCAGGCGTGTGTGAGTGTGTGTCTAAGATCCCGGGAGGAGAATGGAGAAGGAATTGCAGCAAGGCCATCCCTCCTGGAGGGTTTCTCACTTCCTCTCACTGTGTCTGTTCTCTCTCTCTCTCCAGCGACCACATGTGCCCTAAGGCAAAAACCTCTAAAACAAAACAAAACAAAAAATAGAACTTTAAACCAACATGTATTGAATATTTTCTTCTAGAAATTTTCAAATACACATACAAGTTAACCGAAGTGTATACATGCACACATATACAGCAAGAGGGGAAGAGAGCGAGAACGTTCTTTACAAATTGAGGAGGGCAAATACTATTAGGTGCATTTCTAAGTTAACATAAACAAACAAAAAAATGCATTTACAATACCTGAAAAGTGAAGCTCCAATTAATTACAGCATTTTACCATGTTCCTAAGTAAAAGGGCAATAGGAAAAAAATCATACAGGTAAATGTGACAGCATGCAAATTATAAAATGTCTTCTGATAAACAAAAAATGAAATGTACAACAACCAAAGACAAACTGAGAAGCTATTTCAAATGTCAGTACCAATTAGGATTTTTTTCTTACAAGTAACATGAACTGCATAAACAATGGGGAAATACTGTTTTGAAATGCATGTCTCACGCAAGTATTCTAAAGGCGGGGTGGGCTTCAGGCATGGTATGAACAGGGCTCTCTCTGTTTCTCTGTAGTTCTTTTGATTCTCCCTTGCTCTGGGAATTCTCTGTCTGCAGCCTGGCTTTCCTCACAGTTATGGGATAGAAGCTCAAGGCAACTTGGGGTGGCATGCTTCTTTGTTCATGTCTAGAGGAAGAGAGAAAAACTCTTGGCTTGGCCATGGAATATAAATCCTTCCTTGTCATTAGCTGAAACTTAGTTCATGTCCCTCGCCAGAACCAAGCGCAGTGTCTAGGGAAAGGTCACGCACAGATCTTGGGCTATGTTCTTGCCAAGTCACAAGCCAGGGCTGGATCCTCAGATCTCCACATTAGACAGGGTCCCCCACCCTCTGAGTCCTGGGAATGGGGTCAACCTCACTGAGTCAGATGGAGGAGGGGCAGATACCCCTACAAAATTTGGAATTTGTTAGAAAGTTGGAAGGGAAAGTGCCTGTTTGGTAGGCAGGTCAGCATCGCTGCAGTCCTGTACAATTTCGATAACCACAAAGCGACAAAGGATGCCGTGAGAAAGAAAACACTAAGGCTGAAATAATACAAACAGGGTGGGTGGGACCTAGCTTCACATTTCGAGGCTTCTTCATTAGCCCCACCTCTTACCTCTCTGCCCTCGCAGGTGTTCACGTCCCCAGCTCCCAGACATTGTCCTCTCTGGTCCTATTGTGATTCGTATGGAGCTGACTGTTTTAAAGAGAGGGTCAGGTGGGAGGTGGTGGTGAGCCGGAGCTCAGCAGAGCTAGAGAAGTGAACATTATGGAGATTGGTCAATAAGATCAGCCATGTCTGCGGGCTGGTCACTGCTAAGTCAGGATTCCATCCTCTTCCGACGGGAACTGGGAGACAAGGGCCTCTATCTTCCCTGGTGATTGTACATGAGGACTTCAAAGATTTTGTAGAAAAATAGAATGAATGTATGAGTTCATTCTGGTGCAAAAAAAAATGGAAATCCATGCATAGTTTTGTATAATAGGCATTTCCATGAATTTTTAGGAGACCCTAGCTTTTCAAAGGAATGGCTCTCTAATCTTTGACGCAGACACTTCTGAGTTGTGAGAGATCCATGATCGCAGGACCAGCAGATGGCGTAACGGTTCCATCACTGGACTCCCATGCAGATGACTGCAGTTTGGGTCCTAGACCTAGCAGCTTAAAACTCACACCGGGTACGTGTGCATGTGTGTCCCACATCCTCAGAACAGAATGAAGAGGAGGAATTGTAGTGTGGCCATCCTCCCTAGTGGTGGTGGGGGGGGGTGATTTCTCTCTGCCTTCTATCTCTCCAGCGTGTGCTTGCACCCTACAGCAAAAAAACTCAAACAAAACAAAAGAGATCCACCATTATAATTATAAACTCAGTTTACTGAATGCGTTGAGCAAGGGGATCAGTGGTTTATGGCCAGTAAATTCCAACAGCAAATTCTCCTGGCATTGTGGAGCCTTCTCAGGCAGGCCTTGTGATGGGGGCCAGGGTCACCCTCAGTGCCTGACCTCATGCTGTTGGAAGCCATGCCAGCATTTGGTCTTCTCTAGTGCAAACGTTTGGGCAGGTTGTTTTATGCCGAGAGCTCCTCAGTTCCTGCCCTTTGAGGATGTGAACTGTCGGTCCAAGGTCTAGCTTAGTGCTCCGTCATCCTGAGTGAGTAAATTAATCTAGCGTAACCTCCTTACTATACAGACAAGGAACAGAAAACACTCCTTACTCTCCTTAGGGCTGCTTCACGGTGGCCACAGGGAACTACGCCCTATCATCTGCTCAAGGTCGCCCCTCCTTTGCTGCCTCGTCCCTAGTTGGACACATTCTGAGGTCTCTTTGCCTGAGGCTGCCTCTTTGTCAACCCCAGGTGGCCAGGGGTAAGCTAGCAGGCAGTGCCAGGACCTCACCCTTCCATGCTGCACAGGCCTGCAGGGCCATGGCTGGGGAATCAGAGAGGCTGAGTTTTGTTATTGAGCCCCTATTCGCTTTACAGGAAGTGAAAATGACTTTACTGGAAATGGGGGGGGGGGGGGGGGGACCTTAACAGCGGAAACAAAATGTTTTTCCTGTAAATGGGGGGGGGGGAGGGCAGACTTAACGCAGGACAGAGCTCTTGGCTGCCTTTCCCTGGACCGTAAGGAGGCACAGGGTTGAGCCCATCCTTGGAGAACTCTAAAACATCTAGAAACAGCTGAGGGCAATGGAAACCTTTCTACAGTTCGGACATCCCAGACAGAGCCAGTGCTCAGCCTGAAAGAGGTGTCTTGAAAAGAGCACCGAGGGGGGCTGGATCATGGCGTAGCACAAAACCTGCACTGCTCCGTGAGGCTGACCTGAACCGGAAGGTCTGGGCTTGGGGCTAGAGACCTCCTTGGCATGGCCAGTGTGTGCCGTAGTCCTGGGCTGGATGTGGCTGGGGGCAGGTCGTGGTATTAAAACCCTCTAACTGGTGCTCTCTCTCTCTCTCACTCTCTGTCTACTCATAAAATAATAAAAAGGGTTTAAAAGGAAAGAGCAAATGGTCTATAAGGAAAAGTCTCCATATGGTGGTGAGAACACAGAACGGTGCTTTTACAATCCTGTGATAAAAAGGAGTACATAACTTGAAGAAGCATACTCAATATTTTAAATTTATATTCGCAAATCGGGAAAAATGCGTGCAAGCTAGGGAAGATATATGAGGGATCTTCTGAAAGCTCATGGAGAATGCATATCATTAAAAACTATGCGTGGATTGCAATATTTTCTTGCACTAAAACTCTTTAATTCCATTTTCTATGAACTTTTTTTTTGGAGAGAGATTTTTGCTATAGTGTGTGTGTGTGCTTGCCAAAGAGACAGAGACAGAAAGACAGAAAGTGAGAAATCACCTTCCGGGAGATGACCATGCCACAATTCCTTCTCCATTTTCCTCTTGGGCATGCATGTACATGTGCCTGGTGTGAGTTTCAAGCCACCGGATCTGGGACTCGAACTGTCATTGACTACATGGGAGTCCAGCGACATAACCATTAGACCATCTGCTGGTCCCCTCTGTGAACTTTTTGAAAGTCTCCTTTGTATGGATGCTCAGTCAGGGGCATCTCCTCAGGAACACCTGGAGGCTGAATGTTTACATTCAGGGAATATGAGTTTACATGCAGAGAATATGGGTTTAAAAGGGAATATGGGTTTAAAAAGGTTGGGAAGCTGGTCCCCTCTCTGCCCCATTGTGTGTCTGAGGAGGGTCCTTGGGTCCTGGATTCCAGCCACGACCTTGAGAAGAGCAGGGCGTGTGTGTGGGGGGGTGGGGTGGGGTGGGGGCTTGGTTATCTCCCATAGCCTGACGAGAAGGAAGTATTTAGTTTAGAAAAAAAAAAAATCCGTTTTATCTAGGTGTAATCCATTGTTCCTGCAACAGGACCTGGAATATTAAAGAATGGGAGAAGACCCAGGAGGAAGGAAGCTGTGGCTGGTGGTAGTGTCACCAATAATCTTTATTCCCAGGGCCACCAAAGTGTGGAAGTTCTGAGGAAGCAGAGGACACTGCTGGGCTGTGCAGAACCCTCAGCCCTGCTTGCTAATGTGCCTGCCGTTGCCGGCTTCTCTGCTTGGCCCTGGATGGCCGGGAGAGAGGTAAGGCTGCTCCTCACCCTTCCTACTTTGCTTCTTCCTTCCCCCCCATGCAGAGCTCAGGATAAGGAGTTAGGGTGGACTGGGAGGCTTGATAGAGGCCTCCAGAGAAGGCCACATCCTCATCTCTGGAACTGTAATAGGATGCCTTACATGACAGGGGGACTCTGCTGATGTGATTAACAATCATGAGGTGGGGAGATGACTCCGGGTCACACACGGGTACTCTCTGCAAGCAGAGTCTCCACAGAGGGAACCTGGAGGATCAGACTCAGATAGTGGATGGCATGGCAGAAGCAGAGGTTGGAGTGGTTGATGTTTTTTTTCAGATTTTTTTTTTGTTGTTGTTGTTCTAGGGCATGTGCACCAGAGAGTCAGAAAGTGACAAATCACCTCCCAGGGGGGATGACCACGCTGCAATCCCTTCTCCTCCATTCTCCTCTTCAGATCGTGGGCATGCACACACATGCACCCAGCGTGAGATTTAAACCACTGGGTCCAGGATTCAAACCATGGTTGACTATGTGGGAGTCCAGCAACATAACCACTATGCCATCTCCTGGTCCCTGGAGTGGTCGATTTTTTTAGATGACCACTAACAGTCTGCCATAGTAGCCACCATATGAAACTCTTGTGTATGCTTTGAAATAGTTGCTTTATGATTAAAAGCATTTTTTGTTTCTGATTTTAACATACTTTAATCCAGTGACTCAAAATTCTGCCATTGTGTACTAAAATACTATCAGGTTGTTGGAAAAGTCGTGATGCATTTTTGCATAGAAAAAAATATGTCATGACTTTTCCGATGACCCAATATGGCCTCGAGTTCTCAGTTTATATTTTACATGCCTCTCCTCAGTCTTTGGACTTGAGACAGTCCTTGCCGTGTGTCTATCAGAGAAAGGGAGAGACATAATATTGCAATATTACAATACGTAAAATATAAATATATTTAACATATGTGTAAAATATACTCGCACACAATACAACTTAGTGTATATGTAGTACACATCTAGATAAAATTTTTTTTTTAATTTTAAAAATTTTTTAGAGAGATTTTTGCTATAGGGCATGTGAGTTTGCCAGAGAGACAGAAAGTAAGAAATCGCCCCCAGGAGGGATGGCCACACCACAATCCCTTCTCCTCCATGTTCCTCTGGGGATTTTGAGCATGCATGCATGCACACGTGCCAGGAGTGAGTTTCAAGCCATCGGGTCTGGAACTCAAATTGTGGTCAGCCATGGTGGAGTCCAGTGATTGTGCCATCTGCTGGTCCTAGATATATAGATAATTTTTTTTAAAAACATAGACATAAGTGATTCCATATTTTGAACTAACTGTGTTAAATAGAGACATTTTAAAGAGAATTTGGGTTTTGAATCTTTTTGAATAAAAGCGTGACATGGAAGTCATTTAGGAAATATACCCAGGAACAATTAGGAGATATATGTAATAATTTAGGTTTGAAATGATGGACTAAATGCTGAGTAGCAGTAGAGGGACTAGCGAAAAAGGGTGGCTTGAAACACCTGTGTTTGGGGACCAGCAGTTAGTGTAATGACTATGTCGCTGGACTCCCACGTAGTCGACCGTGGTTCGTGTCCTGGATCCGGTGGCTTGAAACTCATGCCGGGCGTGTGTGCGTGCATGCCCAAGATCCCGAGAAGAGATTGCAGCGTGGCCATCCCCCCGGGGGGTGATTTCTCCCTTTCTATCTCTCTGTCTCTCTCTGTCTATCTGGCGCGTCCTATAGCAAAAACCCCCCCAAAAAAAAAAAAAAAAAAAGAAAAAGAAAAAGAAAAAAACACCTGTGTTTGGACATGTGCCAAGTCCTGACGGAACAGAGAAACAGGAAAAAGGATTGTGGCATGATTACACCTCACTGGGGGTGGGGAGTGCTTTTTCTTCTCTCTCTTGCTCTTTCTCTGGTGAGCACAGGTACCTCTGGAAATTTAAAGAAAAAGAAAAGCAGTGTTCATTACCTGCTTTGTTCAAGGTACGGGAGATATCTGTACATGCATCCTCAAGAAAAATGTTAAGGTCTTACACGTATTATATGCTTATTTCATTATGTTTTGGAAAGTTATTTTCTTTAAAAACTTACGTAACATTTAAGAAATGTTTTGTGCAATATAAGTCAAATCTCTCCCCATCTCTTCCTCCTTTCCCTGCGCGAATCTCAATGGTTGGTTTGTAGTGTTTCCTTCCTCATCTTTTTGTGCATTGTTTTTCTATTAAAAAAAAAAAAAGGAGGGGGGCCAGCAGGTGGAGCTGTGGTTAAGGCACTGAACTCGCACGTGGCTGATTGCAATTTGAGTCCCGGATCCAGCGGCTTGAAACTCGAGCTGGGTATGTGTGTGTTCATGCCCAAAAGCTCAAGAGGAGAATGGAAGAGAAGGGATTGTGGCATGGCCATCCTCCCAGGGGGTGATTTGTTTGTTTTCAATCTCTCTGTCTCTGTCTCTCTGGCAAGCATATGCACCCTATAGCAAAAATCTCTTAAAAAAAAAAAGGAACACGATTTTGGTTTGTATGTCTGCTTACACATAAATAGAGATATGATGTAGGTGTTCTTTTCTCCATAGGGTGCATGCACTTACTGTACACAGAGAGAGAGTGTGAGAGAAAGTGAGAAATTGCCCCCGAGAGGGGCGATAGCCACACTGCAATACCTTTTCCATTCTCCTCTTGGGATTTTGGGGACTCATACACATGTACCTGGCAAGGTTTTCAAGACTCTGTGTCTGGGACTTGAACCGTGGTCAAGTGGGAGTCAGTGCCTTCGCCACTATGACACCTGTCAGCCCTTGGTTCTTGCTTTTGTACTTAACAATGTGTCTTGAAAATTTCTCACATTGGTATATATGGATGTACCTTCCTCCTTTGAACTGATGCTATGCATTAAATAGGGCTTTTAATTTTTTTAATTTTCAAATTTTTTTAAGAGAGATATTTTTTTCTATAGGGCACATGTGCTCACTGGAGAGATAGAGAGAAACAGAGAGACAGAAAAAGAGAAGTCATCCCCCAGGAGGGATGGACATGCCACAATCCCTTCCACTCTCGGGATTTTGGGCATGCCTGCACACACGCTAGGCACGTTTTAAGCCACTGGGTTCAGGACTTGAACCGCAGTTGATGATGTGGGAGTCCAGTGATGTAACCAATCTACCATCTGTTGGTCCTTCTATTGCATTTTTAATATGGCTTTGCTATTGTTATTAATTTTTCTTAAATGAATCTTGTGTCTGGTCAACTAAACTTTATTATTACTTTTTAAAAAATAATTTTCTTATTAATGTCAGTTGTGTACCTTTTAAGTAGTCATACCTGGAATTGATTTTGATGTTTTGCTGCACTAGTTAGCACCAACAATATGTGACTTATTTTTACTGGTAAAGGCTAGCATCCTTTTCTGGTCTGTGACTTTAATGTTTTACCTTTTAGGAATAATATTTATTGTAAATATCTTTCCTTGATACTTCTTTAAGTAGGTATGGTGGAGATGGCAGGTTGGTACGGTGGTTAGGGCATAGCTATTTGGAGTCCTAGTTTAATGAGTGTATTAGTTAGATTTCGCTCTGGTAACCAACAGCACCTCAAACTGCAGAAGCTTATAATAGTAAGCATCGATTTATAGCTCATGGCTCTATAAGTCAGCCGTGGCAGGGGCTGGCTGGGCATTGATCAAAGCAAATCACTTGGCCAAGTCCCAAATCAGTAGGCACAGTTGTTTACCAACTAGATGGCATTCCAGAATTACATGGCAAAGGGCATGGATCTATAATCCCATTACAGGGAGAAAATAGAGATTTGTGAATTATAACCTAGCTTACCATACTCTGAGTACTTTTATCCCCACCCGCCCCCCAAACCATGAAAACTGAAGACCCAGTTCCCTTGGATCAGCAGGCCTTCTCCCAATTACTGTTTGAGCTTCTTTGCTTAGATCTACTCCTTCCAAATCAGTCATCTCAAAAGAACAAGTAGTTTTTCTTTTCTACTTAGGACCTCTGTGGTTTTTTTTAAAGAATTATTAATTTAATTTATTATTATTATTATTTACTGTAGGACATGCATGCTCACTAGATATAGCCAGAGAGAGAAAGAGAGAGAGAAAAAATGAGAAAGCAAGTCAACAGATCCAGGACTTGATCCACGGTCAGCCATGTGGAAGTCCAGCGCCTTAACCACCATGCTGATACCTCTACTTAGGATTTTCATCACAGTTCTAAAATTGGCCTTGCTGGTCCTGAGACCATTTCTATGACTGCCTTCAAATACTTTGGCTGGCCAGGAAGGTGTGCTGACATGCTAGGGCTCCCTGCTGAATTTTGAGGGGTAGAGTCCATTCCCTGCAGACAGGTCTGAGGGTAAGGAAGAAGTATTTCCCAAAGAGAGATCAGAAATAAAGGGATGCTGGTCAGGCAAAGGCAGCAGATACCTGCTTATTCCTGAAATCAAGGATTTTAACAAGTGGGGAGAAAAGGGGGTACCATGGCAGATAGAGTGCAGACGTGGAGTTACCAAAGGGTGGAATTGTTTGGGGGAAATTATTGTTTTTCTTCTTAAAGAATTATTTATTTATTATTATTATTATTTTTTAAATTTGCCATAGGTCATGTGCCCTCACGAAAGAGAGAGAGAGAGAAAGTGAGAAAGTAAGCCTTGAGGTCTGGGACTCAAACCGTGGCTGGCCATGTGGAAGTCCAGTATCCCAACCACCACGCCACCTGCTGGCCCTAGTAGTGATCTTTTTCTTTCTTCTCCTTTTTCTTTTATTTTTTAAAGATTTATTTCTTTATTTAACAATTCCACTTGTTATTATTATTTTTTTTTTAATTTGACCAGACAGAGAGAGCAGGAAAGCAAGAAAGCAAGCCGCCAGGTTCAAGACTCGAACCATGCAGTTAGCCATGTAGGAATCCAGAATCCTTAACCACCATGCCACCTGCTGGCCCCAGTAGTGTCTTTTTCTAAGGTTTATCATCTTCTCTATGAGTAGGAGAGAAGATAGAGAGGAAGAGACAGCACCCTCATAGGGTTTTGGTGTCGGGGTTTTGGTGTCGGGGTCTCCCCCCTCAGTCCTCAGCCTGGCCTTGGATCATGGGCACACACATGCCTGCATGCTCTGTGAGGTCTCTGGACACAAACTCAGAACCTTCCCATATAGGTCAGTCTTGCAGAGGGTCTTATTTTATTTCCGCACCACCACTCGCTGAGTAGTGTCATCTTGCAAGGATGTGGAGGACAAGCTGGCCACTGGGGTGGTGTCTTGCGGCCAGTCAATGTTTGAATAATATTCTAAGGTATTTAAAGCTTATTTGGAAACCAGTGGGGAGCTTCAAACTCAAATATTTCCTATAAATTTCTACCTCTCCAGAATCAGCAGGCAGAAGGGAAAGACAAATGTCAAATACAGCATACGTAAGGAAAGGAACGGTGGCAAAAAGTGGATCGACGTGGGTCAGGATCAAAATGACACAATCAAAGGAGTGGACAAGAAGCGGAAACTCAGGGCTGTCAGAGAGTGGAGGAGGAGAAGACTCTGGTTCCAGAGGGTGATGCCCAGGAGTGAGTGTCCCTCGGACATGCCTGACCTTCATAGGAGACCATGCCTGCCAGCGGGCCTCAGCATTGACACAGTGACTGTCACCCACAGTGAGTCTACCTCCTTTATCTGATTCATTTTTTTCTTTAATTGAGAGAGAGGTTTTTGCTAGAGGGCGTGTGCATTCACTGGAGAGACAGAAAGACAGAAAGTGAGAAATCACCCTCCAGGGGAATGGCCACATCGCAATCCCTTCCCCCTTGGGATTTTGGGCATGCACACATACATACCTGGTGTGAATTTTAAGCCACTGGGTCTGGGACTTGAACCATGGTCAATTATGTGGGATTCCAGCAACGTAACCATTACACCATCTACTGGTCCTCTGATTAATGTCTTTTTTTTTTTTTTTTTTTTTTTTTGTGGAGGGGAGACGTTTTTGCTCTAAGGTGCATGCGTTTGCCAAAAAGACAGAGACAGAAAGCAAGAAATCACCCCCGGGGGGGATGGCCACACTGCAATCCTTTATCCTCTATTTTCCTCTCGGGATCTTGGACACACACATACACACACACACACACACACACACACACACACATACACACGCACCTGGCATGAGTTTAAGCCACCAGGTGTGGGACTCGAACCATGGTCGACTACATGGGAGTTCAGCGACATAGCCATTACACCAACTGCTTGTCCCCCGCCCCCGATTCATTCATTCAGTTTTTTTTTTTTTTCATTCCTATTTCCCATGCAGGTTTAGACAGTATCACTCATTCAGTGGCTTTCATCCTACTGTTTTCCAGCCCAACCACTTTCCTTTCATTGACTCAATAGACTTCTGTCCTCCATTCCTCTTTGGACTTAGAGTTGCTTGTCTGTAAAATAATATTGCCTTGTCGCTACAGTTCTTTTCAGCTTTAATAATCTCCATCCTCCAAAGTGCCCTTCATCTCTCCCATGACAAGATCACATTCTTATTCTGTGGCCTGAACCAGCCCCCAGTGATCGTGTTTCCTTGTTGGTGGAGGCCTACATATTTTTACACATTTAGGTTGAAGCGTTTGTCTGCTATGCCCGGCCTGCAGCCACGTACATACAAATGTCCATACGAGACGTTTACCTTCCTTGTTGGAACCTGGGACATTAAGCTTCTCATCGACATGGGCTAAGTTCCTACAACGAGATGAAAAGCATGTTTGATTTTTATGGAGAGGCAGAGTATTTATTGGGAGAGGAGAGCCTAGGTTAGCAATCAGGGCTCCTGCGTGGGTTAAGGTTTGTCTTGCGGGACTCGCCATGATGCTCTGGGAACCAAGGAAAAGCTAGGCCAAATACCTTTACTAAGGGGGAATCCTGTGTCTACGTGAAACGTGGTCATATACTTATTGGAGCCAGAGCGAGCACTGGGCTCCAGTGCCCAGCTGCAGCTGGAGAGGGAAGGGCAGTCGTAGCATATCTAACTTCAGGCCACCTTTCCAGCTGCCTCGCCGTCACTGGAGTCTGTTCACTGCCATCTGTGCTGGACAGCTGTCATAGCCTCCTGTCACCTCCATTCTCGCCCTCCTACAGGCCCTTTCCTTTTTTTTTTTTAGGTTTTTGTTATAAAGTGTGTGTACTTGCCAGAGGGGAAGTGAGAAATCCACTCCCAGGGGATGGACACACTGCAATCCCTTCTCCATTCTCCCCTTGGGATTTGGGGCACACCTGTACACGTGCCTGGTGTGATTTTCCAAACCTCGGAGTCCGGGACTTCGAACCATGGCCAGCCACGTGGGAGTCCAGCACTTTCACCACCATACTACCTACTGGCCCTGCAAATGCATCTTAATCACTTATTGACTTATTGGGTCCTAGAGGCCTCTGAGTCAGCAGTGCATAGTAGGTGCTCTGTAAACAGCAGGGAGTAGGTGCTCAGAAAATTTCTCGTGCGAACGCAGGCATCTGTAAAGGAGTGGACACAGCACCAATCACTTCCTTACTGGCCGTCGAGGCTCTACTTTGAGCGTCTCACATTCTCCAACCACGTACTCAGATCGCCAATCTCATTGTAGTTCCCAGATTTCAGCCCACATCAAAACAGTAACAATGCCGGGACCAGCAGTTAGCATAATGTTGCTGGACTCCTATGTAGTCGACTGCAGTTCGAGTCTCGGACCTGGTGGCTTAAACTCACACCGGGCGCGTGTGTGTGTGTGCCCAAGATCCCGGAGGAGAATGGAGGAGAAGGAACTGTGGTGTGGCCATCCCCCCTAGGGGGTGATTTCTTGCTTTTTATCTCTCTGTCTTTCTCTATCTTTCTGGCAAGTGCATGCGCCCTATAGCAAAAACCTTTCAAAAAAAAAAAAAAATCAGTACCAATGCTGTTTTGAAAACGTTTCTTAAATGCCGAATATCCATCTTTTCAACTGAAGCTTAGTGAAACAGTGAGTGAAAAGGGGTGTGAAGCAAATATTTAGTGTGCAGCTGCTGTGGGGAATCCAAAGCTCTCGAGCATCTCTGTGATTTATATTCAGATGAGCCAAGTGTAAATATGTCATTAAAAAGGCAGGATTTGAGGTGAGGGGGTGGAATGAGCGGCTCAGCTTTCTTCAAAACAGCTGCTGCAGAGTCCGGGCAAGATCTGCAGGAGTCCTGGTTCCCAAAGAGTCCTACTAGGCGTATGTCTCCTCTTACTCTGCAACAAGAAATCAGGCTGCAGAACCAGCAGGGGGCATACTGGTTATGTCACTGGACTCTCACGTGGCTGACTACAGTTCGAGTCCCAGACCTGGCAGCTTGAAACTCACACTGGATGTATGTTTGTGCATTCCCCAAATCCCAGGAGGATGGAGGAGAAAGAATTGGGCATGAACACCCCTCCTCCCTCCGGGGTTGTGACTTCTCACTTTCTGTCTCTCTGTCTCTCTGGCAAGCGCACACGCCCTATAGCAAAAAGTTCTCTTAAAAAAAAAAAATCAGGTTGCAACTCATGTAGGTATTAAGAATTACTAATTACGTTGGAATATTCCAAATAGTTCCTAGATTCAAAACAAATTTACAGCATTCCGGAAGGGTTTCATTTCTTCAGCATTTACTCAGTGGGGTTGCATCTTATGTGGAAATTATATTGCAAAGTCAATCAAAATTGCCCTTGAGGCTGCTTTATGTCCCACGCGAAGGGCAGGGTACCCGATTTTGTTACATAGACTCCTGAGGTGCTGTTATTGGTTCCCCTAACTCATTACTCAAGATTTCTCAACAGTCCTTAATGAATCCCCTCTCTCCTTAACGATGTTTTTGTAGCTTTGTTACCTGTGAGTTGTTCACCAGCTGAACCATACCTTTTAGTTCTTTCTTAACGTTCAAAACCACTTAAAATAGCTCACAAGGGGCCAGCAGGTGGTGCGGTCATTAAGGCACTAGACTCCCACGTGACTGACCATGGTTCAAGTCCTGGACCCAGAGGCTTGAAATTCTCACTGGACACATGTATATGTGTACCCAAAATCACAGGAGCAGAGTGGAGGAGAAGGGATTGCAGCATGGCCATCCCTCTTGATGGGTGATTTCTCACTATTCCTCTCATTGTCTCTCTCCAGCAAGTGCATGTGCCGTATGGAAAAAAACAAACAAAACAAAACTAGCTCACAAAATGCCTCTACAGGCTTTATATATATATATATGCTTGCCAATCCACTATCACTGATTTCCCATAAATTATATGCATGTAAATTAAGAACATGGATGACATGGCTCCACTGTAATAGAAGTAAATATAAATTGCTACCATAATTCAGATTTCCTGAGGCCTTACTGACCCAAGAGTACAAATAAAACATCAGGAAAAAAATCACCCAGATTCTAGCAGCTCTTATGGTGCTGGAAATTCGTAAGGATTTCTTTTTGAATATTTTGGTGGTTTATAAGAAGGGGCTCCACAGGTGGTCATGAGCAAGTCTGTTTCTGTCGGTGTACCTGCTGCCACAGACTTCCGCCTGGATGGAGGTCCTGCTGGGGAGGTCCTGGGCAGAGTGGTGAGCCACTCCCGTTGGTTCTCCAGAAGAGGTGTGTTACTAGCGTCACCACCACAGAAGTCACAGTAGTTACTGGGATTACGCATCCTAGTTACATGGTGCCGTATGCCACATCAAACGTTTTCACATCTGGCTATGTCAGGTGGTGAGGGATGCGATGGGGAATGATTGAGCAGGGAAAAGGAAAAAGTAACGATGATCTCACTAGCACGTCCGAGGGTCCAGTTGTTCCTATGGGAACAGTACAATAAACACAGGCTTTCTCCTGGGTGGCTAGACTTTCTGGACACTGTAACACTCTGTAGTTTTTTTTTTGGAGAGATTTTCACTGTAGGGCGCGTGTGCTCGCCAGACAGACAGAGAGAGACCTAGAGACAGAAAGCGAGAAATCACCCCCCCAGGGGGGATGGTCACGCCGCAATCCCTTCTCCTCCATTCTCCTCTCGGGATCTTGGGCACACACGCACATGTGCCCGGCGTGAGTTTTAAGCCACCGGGTCCGGGACACGAACCGCGGTCGACTACGTGGGAGTCCAGCGACATAGCCATTACGCTAACTGCTGGTTCCCTCTGTAGTTTATTAACAATTGCACTCATTGCTTTGAGTTGAAAGGGATGTCATTCAACTGAAATGGTATCTGGAGTTTGAAGAAAAACATTGCATATTTTATTTTAAAGAAGTAATATTTTGGGAACCAGCAGATGGTATAATGGTTCTATTGCTGAACTTCCACGTACTCAACAGCGGTTCGAGTCCCAGACCTAGTAACTTAAACTCATGCTGGGTGTATGTGCATGCATGCCAAAGATCCCGAGAGGAGAATGGAGGAGAAGGGATTGTGGTGTGGCCATCCCCCCAGGGGGTGATTTCTTGCGTTCGGTCTCTCTGTCTCTCTCTGTCTATCTGGCAAGAGCATGTGCCCTATAGCAAAAATCTCTACAAAAAAAAGTAATATCTTTATAAAATTAAATTTACTCAAGTTTCCAAATGTTTGGCGCATGCTTCTGAATGCTTGAAATTCAGAATGTTTCCATTTCAAGGAACATTTCCCACAGGTGAGTATGTATCGTATCTTCTCTCAGAGTGCTTATTTTTACCTTCCTTCAGAGCTAATACAGGGGTGGTTTGTTTGTGTCTTCTTCCTTTTTATTTTATTTTTTTAAATCTTCCAGTGGAGCATCAATACAGGTTTGACTCAGAGGATGGAAATGGCCTCACCGTTACTTGGAGGTAAGCAGGTCCCTGATGAAGATGGAGTTACTGGCTGGGCCATTGGGTGGCTTACCTTTCTTCTCAGCAGGTGTCTCTCTGCCCTCCCAGCATCCCCGCGTGTGGAATCACTCCTGCTTTTAGATCCCCACCTTACCTGTCCCCCAGCACCACACCTCGAGGACTTCCCCAGTATCTCAGGGGAGGAATATTTCAGCAGAGGGCTGGCTGGGGGAAGACAGGATTGCCAAGAGCTGAACTTGGACACCTGCAGGAAAAGGAGTCCCCAGAGGTGACAGGAGTATTGCCTTGTTTCCTTGGAAAACAAGTCCTTCATTGGTCTTTTTTTTCATTATTTAGACTGAAGATACTTCCTGGGCCCAAGGAGAAGGTAAGTGAAAACAGCACCTATTTCAGCATCTAAGACTCTTTTTTTTTTCTTTTCTTTTTTTGGAGAAGTTTTTGCTATAGGGCGCGTGCACTCGCCAGAGAGAGAGAGAGAGAGAGAGAGAGAGAGAGAGAGAGAGAGAGATAGAAAGGGAGAAATCACCCCCGGGGGGGGATGGCCACGCCACAATCCCTTCTCCTCCATTCTCCTCTCAGGATCTTGAGTACACATGCACACGTGCCTGGCGTGAGTTTAAGCCACTGGGTTTGGGACTTGAATTGCGGTCGACTACATGGGAGTCCAGTGACATAGCCATTACGCTAACTGCTGGTCCCAGCATCTAAGACTCTTTAACCAACAAAGAGGTTCTTTTATTCTAAGAAATACAGGAGAACAAGGGAAGAGCTGGTTTTCTCCTGTCCTTCTACACATCCATCCCTCCATCCCTCTATCCATCCACTCACCCAGCTATTCTATGGGAGTGGGTGAATAGAGAAAGGATGGAAATAACAGAGTATTTAATTTAAACACAAATGCTATAGACATTCTTTAGAGTAAGAGAAACACAGTCTCTATACAATAGTACAAGTTATTTTCCTTGGCTGTTCATGTCCTCATTTCCTGTAAAAACAGGCTCTTCTTTGAGACATCCTTTAAAATGGACTGGCTCTGTCTCCACAGCACATGAAGATAGTCCCAAAGAGGAATAGGCAGTTATTGGAGTAGTTCCTTATTTAACATGGACCCAACTCACTGGTTATTTCAATATTTGACACTCTGTGAAGTATATTTGCTCACCCTTCCAGGCTTCATCATCTGTGTTTGTCCACCCTAGACTTTTATGGATTCAGACAGTCCTCTTGCTTGGAGGAGTTACACTTCCTTTAAAAAAAATAAATAAATAAACTTTGGAGAGAGATTTTTGCTATAGCACATGTGCACTCGCCAGAGAGATAGAGAAAGACAGAGAGAGAGAAAGCGAGAAATCACCCCACAGGGGGGAGGGCCACACCACAATCTTTTCTCTTCCATTTTCCTCTTGAGATTTTGGGCATGCACGCACACGTGTCCAGTGTGAATTTTAAGCCACCCAGCCCAGGACTCAAACAGTGGTCAACTACGTGGGAGTCCAGTGACATAAATATTTCACCATCTGCTGATCCCGGATCTACACTTTCAACGTAGCCTTTGTCAGGTCGACGGGTTTTGGTTTACATGACTTTTGCCTGCAGCAGGTGTGGTCTTCTTCAAACCAAGGGGCGATAATGATAATATTGGTAAATGGAAAGGTGAGTGGGGGGGGGGTCTAACATTATAACACAGTGGGGAAACTAAGGCCCAGGGCATAAGCTGACTTAAAGCAGGGAGCTATTATGGCAGAACGAGGGCTAGGAAACAAGAATTAAATAATTTTCTAGAGACCTCTTTAGCAGTAATTCAAGATCTCCAACTACAAGTTTTTGGATATTTATTTCAGTAGTCTTCCCACAAGTATGCATGAACATCTTTCCAAAAGAACAAAGTTGTTTATCAACATAAGACCTGGTGAATTCTTTATACTAAAACAATTTCTGAATTATATTTGTAACACAAAGCAATTTTCCCACAAATGATGTCACATAAATTCTAGCCATGAAAAGTTGACTAGGACTTGGATAAAAAGGACACATGGTGGGGCGATGCTTGAGTTCCTACCTCAGTGTGGCCACCTGGGGGACTCTGTAGTCTTCGATTTTCCCAGTGGTGATCAGAGATGGGGCACCACACATGAGTAAGCTGTGGATGTCCTCGTCTTTGCCTGAGTCAGACTCACGGAGCAGCTAGCATCGCCTCTTTTCTTGTCCCAGAATCAAATGGCTGATCACATCAATGGACCCTCAACAGAAATTCACCTGCTCACTAGTTACCTGTATTCTTCACTCACCTTTGGAGAGTCCCTGAGGCCCTATTGGGTGTTACTATTTGTGATGTCCCATCGAAGGAAGGTAAGAAACTCCAAAAAAGAGTAGAGGTATATGAGATTTATTTTTTTTTTTAATTTGCTAGAGGATACATGCACTTACTGGAGAGAGAGAGAGATAGAAAGAGAGAGAGAGGGAAAACAAGAAAGCATTCATCATGGAGGGTGGTCTTACCACAATCCCTTCTCCATTCTCCTCTTGGGATTTTGGGCATGTACACACATATGCCTGGTGTTGGGCCTAGGACTTGAACCAAACAGTTGGCCATGTGAGATCCAGCCACCTTAACCACCATGTCATCAGCTGGCTCACTAATGAGATTTTATCGATAGCACCATATATTAGAAGAAAGGGCTAATCAAACATTTATAGAAATTCTTATTCCTCTCATGATCTGCCTTTTATAATTTCTTCTTTTTTTAATCTCTTTTAATCCTTAGTAGCCTTCTTACCAGTCTACAACCTCAAATTGTATGATTTTATAGATGTGGTTTATTTGCATATGAATCATCCTTCAAAGGAGCACTAAGTAGGTAGTGAGATTACTTGGACAAATCATGTTTAAATGTGATTTCTTCACGTTAATTTATCTTCAAAACCTGCTGAGATAGATTGAATAACATCATTTATATAAAAATAACGGTTTCTAAAAATTGAAATCACAAAAGAAATGGAAAAAAATAGTAACTGGTACAGGGGGAAGTCTTTTTAACAGGAAAAACAAACAAAAAAAAACGAACTTTAATGGGAAAAGACAATTATTTGATTGCATACAAATTTTAAAAATTTCTCTACATCAGAAAGAAGCTAAGGAAAATATGTGTGACATACAGAGCTAAGAAACTCTTCAGTATGGTTCTAGCCAGGTATCTCCTATCCAAGCAGCAAGTCAGTCCTATGTCAGGAAAACCTGGCTGCTTTGAGTATGTTGGGCTTACTGAAAAAAGGCATAGTATACTTAAAATGATGAACTTCATGATGGGTGACGTGGGATTATTAATTTATTTTTAGAAAAATTTTGCTATAGGGTGCGTGTGCTCACTGGAGAGACTGAGACAGAAAGCGAGAAATCACCCTTCAGGGGAGATGGCCATGTTGCAATCCCTTCCCCTCCATTCTTCTCTCAGGATCTTGGGCACACACACACACACACACACACACACACATGTGGCCGCCATGAGTTTTAAGTCGCCAGGTCCAGGACTCAAACCATGGTCGACTACATGAGAATCCAGTGATGTAAGCATTTCACCATCTGCTGATCATGACTTAGGGGAATTGCTAAAGAAAACATTTGACAGTTCTCAGTGTTTGGAATTTGGTCTGGCCTTTGCAACATAACCCTCCACCTGAGATGTGAGCCACTGAGTAACTCATACTCCAGGGGGGGAGGTCAGAGCTTGTGATCTGAGAGTCATTTTCAGTAAAGAATAAGATAAAGTTGAAGTTTACACATCTCAAAATAATGGTATGGATTTCATATTTAGAGTACCCATGGCATACGGGCTACTACATTACTTGCTGGGATTTCAAAAATGAGTGAGAAATTGTCTGTGTTCTTCAGGAGTCCCTAGACAATGAGATTTATCAGAGTAGGGGGAAGTACTTCCAATCTGGGGTGAGGGGATGTATTGCTATAGTACAGACAATCACATGAAACTGGAGCTGTCTCAGCCAGACTGAGGGGTTAGAAATAACTGCTGGAGTCGAAGCAGTAGGTCTGTGTAGGATGGTACAGTAAATACAAACCTGAAAGAGAAGCCTATGGATGCCAGGACGGGAAGTAAGGAGCCATTGAATACTTTGGCCCAAGGAACTGACATGACAGAAGTCTCCTTCAGGACCCCAGTGGTCCTGCCCCTTAGCTGTTATTTTGCATTCCACAATTTAACTTTCTGCAGTTTCAGTTACCCATGGTCACCCATGAGCTGAAAGCAGGTGAGTGCTCTGCAATAGAACAAGCTATTTGAGAAGGAGAAAGAGGCCAAGTTCCTGTGATTTTTATTACCACATATAGGCATAACTGTTCTCCTTTTAGTTATTGTTGTTACTCTCTTTACTGTGCCTAATTTATAAATTAAACTTCATCATAGGTCTGTACGTATACCTAAGAAAACACCGTCTGTAACACTTTCCCCTTATCCCTTGTGGATGAGAGAATATTACTGTATTTCTCTTATAATCTATTATCCTTTTTTATTTTAGAAAGCCAAGATAAATGAGTCATATCAAAAACTTAATGAAACATTTGAACCAGGTAGGAGTTATTTTGCTTGTTTGTATTGATTGATTGATTGATTGATTGATTGCTATAGGGCGTGTGTGCTTGCCTGACAAAAAGAGAGAGAGAGACAGAGAAAGAGGGAAACTGAGAAATCACCCCCCAGAAGGGATGGCCACACTGCAAGCCCTTCCTCTTTTTCCCCTCAAGATTTTGGGCATGCACACATACATGCCTGATGTGTTTTTCAAGTTGCGGGTCCAGAACTCAAACCATGAAATCAGCCACATGAGATCTAGCACCTTAACCACCCCACTCTCTGCTGGCCCAGAAATATTCTTTCATTATTTTTTAAATTTACCAGAGGGTGTGTGCACTCTCTGGAGAGGGGATAAAGAGGGAGAGAGGAAATGAGAAAGTGTCCCCCGCCATGGGAAATGGTCACACCACAATCCCTTCTCCTTCATTTTTCCTTTCAGGATTTTGAGTATGCATGCACAGGTCCCCACCATGTTTTTCAAGCCTCTGGGTCTGGATTTGAACTGTGCTGTTGGCCATGTGGAATTCAGCTGTCTTCACCACCACACCACTGGCTTGTCTAAATATTCTTACTGATGCCATTTACTAACAGGACAGAGACTTTGAAGTGCTAAAGCTGGGTCGAGAGTTGTGTTTGAAAGAGAGTGACGGTTACAGGCACAATGACATAGTGGACTCTGATGTTTTGACCCTCTGTAGCATAAAACTATAGCCCATTTCCAAAGAGCTTTATGGGAGCTCTGGGATGACCCCGGTCAGATTGTCCTCAAACATTACATGGTCACCACATTAACCCGGCAAGAACTGGCTTGTTTGTGGAACTTGGAGGTCATTTGGTTTTCAGAGGAACCTTCAGGTCAGTTTGGGAAGGAAGCATGTTGAATACACACATCGTGGGATAGTCCTACCAGGACATATCCTATAACAAGATGAACAACAACAAAAATGACAAAGTTCTTATCTATGCAACATCCAGAATGACTCATGAAGAAATTGTGTGAGCAAGAAGCAAAACACAAAAAGTACATACTCTGGGATCCCATGTAGGGGAAATTTGAGAACAGGTGAAAATAATCTGTAAGTGATAGACTTGGTCAAGTGATGGCTACGTCTGAGAGATCCGTGTTGACTGTATGAGGAAACATTCTAAAAGTAGGTGAGTGATAGAAATGTCCCATAACTGCCTGATCTGTGAGATATCTATATCTATATCTATCTATATCTATCTATATCTATATCTATATCTATATCTATATCTATATCTATATCTATATCTATATCTATATCTATATCTATATCTATATAAATACACACACACTTAAGTTCACTGAGCTCTACACTTTATGTGCTTTATTGTATATATGAACTAGCTCAGTTAAAAAATTTCAAAGTAGGTATTTTTTTTCTATGTGGTCCATTATTCTCATTTTTTAGAGAGAGAGATAGGGCATATGCACTCACCAATGAGACAGAGACAGACAGACAGACAGAAAGTGAGAGACTACCCCCTCTTAGGATTTTGGGCATGCACATACACGCGCCCAGTGTGAGTTTTAAGCCACCAGGTCTGGGACTCAAACCGCAGTCGACTTTGTGGGAGTCCAGCGTCATAACCATTATGCCATCTGCTGGGCCTCCATTATGCTCTTTTCCTCCCTTTCCTGTGCTGGAAGGAAGGCCCCTTGGTGTTCTCGGTTACGTCTATGGATGCTGGAAAGTCTGTCAAAGAGAAAGGAGCCTGAGCACCTTCAGGAAGCTACAGAGTGAATACCATGAGTCACTGCCCTTGAAGGTGAGAGAGGTCCTGTCTCCTTTGGAGAGCAAAGAACTTGGGGTCTGGAGGACCGTGGCTTTCTGGTGAGTGAACACAGAAACACTAAGATGGTGGAAGGGGGAACCTCAGATACCCTGGGAAACTTTGACAAAAACGATCTAAAGTTTTTGAAGTCATCAAAAAAACCCATATACATATATGGGTTTGTGTGTTGGGGGAGTCTTCAACATGTTCATAGAAAAATGCATATTATGAGCAAACTATGTGTGGATTTTAGCTTTTTATTGCACCCAAATAAATGACTACTTTAACTCCATTTTCCCATAAACCATGTGAAGTCCTCTTGTATATGTGTATATATATTTTATTATGCCAGTGTTTATTGAAAGGCCTCAGGTGGTCTAAGAGGAAAATCTTTATATTTTCATGCAAACTATCTGAAAGAATTGAGCATTGTTCTTTCTTTTCTTCTTCTTCTGTTTTTTTTTTTTGGTAGATTTTTTTTGCCCAAGGGCATGTGTGCTTCCTAAAGAGAGAGACAGAGACAGTGAGAGGGAAAGTGAGAAATCACCCCTCCAGAGGGGATGGCCACACCTCAGTTCCTTCTCTCCCATTCTGCTCCACACACACATGTTCCTGGCAGGAGTTGGAGTCACCAGGTCGGTGACTCAAACCGTGGCCGGCTGTGTGAGTCCAGCGATACAACCGCTACACCATCTGCTGGTCCCAAGAGTTCCGCACTTCAGTCCGGAGTACTGCTGAAGAGTCAAGGCTGAGAAGGAAGAGGTTGGGGCGCAGCTGGCACAGAGCACACCCGTCTTTCCCTTCTTTACTCGCCTCACAGTGCTTTGCCAAGTTCCACTGTTGGCTCTTCCAATCTTCATTTGTCCTTTCAGCATTTTCCTCCAAGTACAGACTGAACCTTTCTAATAGCACACGCACACTTAGGAGGGTTGCTTGGGTCACCAGCTTTTGCCTTCTGGCTTTTGGTTTAGATTTTCAGGACTTCGACCAGTCTGTAAGTGGGAGTACAGATCAGCAGAAGGAACTTGGCAGAGCTCACAGGTGAACAGCTGACTTTGAAAAGAAGACTGACGTTTTGTGGCTGAACTAAAAGGAGCTTCGGAGGACCCATGGGGGAGCCATGGCCCCTTTAGTTGCTAGAGACTAGTCCACATTTTTAGCTAGATCAAATTTTTAAACAGATTTTTTTTTTTTAAGCACTTGAAGCATCTTCAGTTGAACAAGAACACTTAGCTGGCCTGCCGTTTTCAAAGGGTTTGCATTGTAGACAGGGCAAAGGTGGAGATATTTATACAGATCCTTGAAGTACACCAGCATCTAAATGAGTGTGTCCTTATTAAATACTCATGGGAGGAAGTAGATCCAAATTTCTTTATCTCTTTTTCTCTCTTTTTTTCTCTTTATCTCTTTCTTTGTTTTATTTTTATTTTAAAAATAATTATTTAGTTCATTTTATATATTATTATTATTATGTTAATTTGCTATAGGGCACATACACTCACCGGAGAGATAGAGAGGGAGGAAAAATGAGAAAGCAAGCCGCCAGGTCTGAGTGTCGAACCACAGTCAGCCATATGGGAGTCTAGCACCTAAACCACCATGCTACTTGTTGGCCCTCTTTCTTTTAGTTTTTAATTGCTGGAGCATGTGTAGTTCACCAGAGAGGGAGAAAGAAGGAGACCAAGAAAGTACCCCTAGGGGGGCATGATCATGTTGTGATCCCTTCTCTATTTCTCCATCCTGTTGAGATTTGGAACACACATGCACACACACCTGGTATCTTTTCCAAGCTGCTGAGGCTGGGTTTTGAACCATGGTTGGCCATGTAGGATTCAACTTTCTTAAACACTAAGCTACAGGGCTTGCCCATGAGCCCCTTCCTGTTGGATGGAACCCTGGGAATGGCCACAGTTCTCCCACTTCCTGACAGATATGCAGTGAGTGCCAAGCATGGAAATGGAATTGATCTGAGCCCCTTCCCTCCCTTCAAGGCCCCCTTCTTCTTGCCCACAGAATCAGGGTATTCTGGGACTAAGGTTTTTTCACCCAGCCACCCTAGGTTTAAGTAATTATTTAGATCTGAGAAGGTAGCTTCTCATTCTGAACTACTCATGACTTATCAAAGGAAGTCTTCTAATGGACTCTATTTCCCTGTTTCCTAGTGAGGAGGCATCTGGGGTAGAAGATGAAAAGGTGAGTCACCATCATTTCCTGGGGTGAACATTAAAAGTGCAGCATAATTAGGATAGATTTAGGTTACAGTAGAGTCCTGGATGGGCTTTTATTTGGGTAGGATTGTATGATCAGAGATATAGATTGACCAATTCATCCATCCATCCATCCATCCACCCATCCATCCACCCATCCATCCACCCACCCATCCACCCACCCATCCATCCACCCATCCATCCACCCATCCATCCATCCATCCATCCATCCATTCACTCATCTACCTATTCATCCCCTCACCCACCCACCCATCCATCCACCCATCCATCCACCCATCCATCCACCCACCCATCCATCCACCCATCCATCCATCCATCCATTCACCCATCCATCCATTCACCCATCCATCCACCCACCCATCCACCCATCCACCCAGTCAGCATTTATCAACTATATACTATGTGCCAGACATGGTTCTAGGCTTTCGGGTATTCTGCTGTTTGAGGCAAAGTCCTTATTTTCATGAAGCCTACATTTTAGTCAGAGAGATTGATGAAACAAAAGCAAAAGTGTAAATAATTTCTTGTGGTGCATGCTGTGAAGCCATCAAAGTGAGCTAACACTCTAAAACACTGGGAGATTATTAGCCGTTACTGTGGGTTCCAGTTCAAACTCTTAGACTCTAAACATTCCTCTTTCATAGCTAAAGTTTTCTCTTCTAAATTCTTCTGCGATGAAAGTTTGGGCCCTCTGTATGAGATTTTTGTTTGGCGGGGTACATTGCAGTGGGCAAGGTTGGGCAGGGACAGGGTGTATTGTGCTTATTTGAATGGCAGATCTGTTTGTGTGTAAAATGAAACTAGAGAAGCACACAGGAAGGGACCCATCAAGTTAGGGAGAGGCCTGTGGCATTCTGGAAGCAGATACAAGATGGCGTTCCCATTACCATTCTCTAAGTCTGCAGAGGTCATAATAAAGCTGTGACTAGCTATCTGTGGAGGATGCAAAAGAATCCTGGCTCCTTCCCATTTCAGTGGGGAGGAGCCAGCCACTGTGACTCACTGGAATGTCATTGCTCTTCACAGATGGCTTATTGCTGGAAGGAGAAGAGACCAGTGCTCACGCACAACATGGTCAGATTTGGTCCCAGGACTCTGGTTGGAGCCAGTAAGGCGAAGTGAGTAGATTATGAGCCATGGTCTTGCTATTTTTATGCTTTTCTTTCTTTTCTTTTTTGTTTTAAGTTTACCTCTCTCTCTCCTGACAAGAACTCTCAACAGGGTTTCATGCCACAACCCTCCTCCCCAAAGCCTTTCTGAGCCAGCCAGGATGATAGGTATGTGTGTATTTCTGGCATGGACCAGTCAATCTGGGAACCAAACCCTGATCTTCCCTATGGCTTCCAGCATTGCAGAACATTAGCAATGGTGTCAGGCCATCTTTGTTTCTCCCTTTAAACCATTGCAATCAGCTGTCCACACCCTAGGCTGTGAGACTGTTCTTGCTAGGTTGTCACTGGCTTATCTGATGGCATTTTATAAATGCCAATTATAATGGCCTTCTTTCCACCCCAATCTCCTCTCTATAACATTTGACATTACGAGTCATTGTTTTTCTGGAAAGTTCTTTTTCTTAGGTGTTTGTGACACTGTGAGTTCCCTACAAATTCTGTGGTGAACCATATTGGCAATTGAGAAGGTGGAGCTGGGAGAAGCTTCAGGAAGTAGGAAACCATCCAACTGAGCTTAGAGGGATGAAGGGAGGATGAGTTCATCAGCTGGAGAAGAAGGCAAGACTGTGCCTTCACCTCAGCTCCTGGTTTATTCTCTAATAAAAGATATAAATAACTGAAATAGCATGTCGTTCTCTTTTTTTCAGAGATGAGTTTCTGGGAATGGCTCTTGTCAGAAGGGTAAGTCTTGGAGCATGTTAAAGCCAAGTTCTACTAACTTGCATGTGTAGCAGTTTAATGGCAGGGGCTGAGGGGCTGGTTCTCTTTTTAGACAGAGTCTTTCCATGTTGCCCAGACCAACATTAAGCTCTTGATCTTCCTGCCTCAGCCTTCCCAAATCACTGAGATTACAGGTACACACCTTATGGCCAGTCTTTAGGGTGGAGCAGGAATCGAACCTGGGCTTTCTGTGTGGTCCCAGCCTGAAGAGCATAGCTTTTTTAGTAGTGTGAGCCACGGTCACTGGACCATAGGCTGCCTCTTTGAATGTCATCCACAAAATATTTTAACTTCTGCTGACTCCAACTTAAGTTCTAGGAGCCAATTTCAAGGTTCCTGGGAAAATGGAATGTAAGTGTGAGTTTATTTGGGTGCAAAACATTTTGAAATCCATGCATAGTGTTTTCATAATACACTGTTTCCATGCGTTTTTTGAAGACCTCTCATATTGAAACCAACCCAGAATGAGCAACCAAGAATTAAAAATTTAATCAATCTAGTAACTTATTGTGGAGACCCAAAATGCCTTATTAAATTCTGCTACCTTTCCCAAACTTGTCTAAAATATTTTGTTGATTGGATTCAAGTTGGTCTTCTAAAGAATTATTTGTTTAATTTATTTTTATTTTTAATTTGCTATAGGGCATGTGCATTTGAAAGAGAGAGAGAGAGAGAGAGAGAGACACTCCAGGTCTGGGACTTGAACCACAGTTGGTTATGTGGGAGTCCAGAGTCTTAACCACGATGCCATCTGCTAGCTCCCAAACGGGTCTTCTAATTAAACAGGTAGGTTAACTGATTTAGTTCTCTTCAGAATTTTAGTGTGCCAAGAGCAACCTGATCTAAATGATATCTTGTGGTTATTCTCAGACAGCCCAAAAGAAGAAAGGAAACCAAGCTCCTCTGACCCACAACCTGGTCAGATTTGGCTCAAGGACCCTCGTGGGAGCCAAGAGGGCAGCAGATATTTCTGACCAGTGAGTAGATTCAGGGCTGCAGAAATTCAGGGATGGGGAGACTTTGCCAAACAGATATTTGGGACCTAAACTATCATAACGCTAAAGAACTGTGAAGTTAGAAGGGCCTTTGGGATGCTTCTTGTCCAAGCCAATCTGTTTCACACCTAAGAAGACGGCCTTGGTCATGGCCGTGCAGTGACAGAGGAAACATGACTTAGTTGAGAAATGACTGCTATAGGACTGGGTGGGTACTAGGAGACTGGGAGTGAGGGTTGCGTGTGCAAGTGCACAAGCGCGTGTTTACATATATATTTTTCTTTCTTTCTTTTCCTCCGAAGGAAGACCTCTGAAAGCTCTTAGCAGCACTAAGATTCGATATATGTATCTTTGGGGCCACTAGATGGCATGGTGGTTAAGATACAGGACTCTGATGGCTGATCGTGGTTCAAGGCCTAGACCCAGTGGCTTGAAAATCATGCCAGGTGTGTTGCGTGCATGTCCCAAATCCCAGGAGGAGAATGGAGGAGACGGGATTGTGAAATGGCCATCCCCCTGGGGGGTGATTTCTCACTTTCCATCTCTGGCAAGTGCACATGCCCTATCGCAAAAACCAAAGCAAATAAATAAATAAATATCACACACACACACACACACACACACGTATCGTTCTTTTCTGTTTCATTCTCCCTTTCTGCTTTCCCTTTTGTGGGCTAGTCCCCTTGCATGAGTGCGTGGAAGGCTGTATGTCTCGCAGATCCTACTTTCTCTTTTTTAGGCCCCTTTGGGAAAGTATTATTTCATATTACCACAAAAGGGGTTAAGTGAAAGAGACTACTACTTTGGCTTAAGGATATTTTCCTGTTGTATTAGTCAGGTTTTGCCACACAATCATTGATAGTATGTGTGCGTGCGTGTGTGTGTGTGTGTGCATGTATATATGCACACACATACATACATGCACATACACATGTGAAGAAATTTTAAGGAACTGGCTCACATGATTGTAAAGCATTGGCCAGTCCAAAAACCGGTGGGCGAGGCTGTCAGTGGACACTCAGGAAAGAATGGAGGTGCAAATCCAAGGCCGTGTGTTGAACAACCAGGAAGAACTACATTGGCGATGAAATCTGAAGGCGATTTGTGGCAGAATTCCTTCTTGTCTGGGGGAGATCAGCCTTTTGTTCAGGCCTTCAGCTGATTGAATGAGGCTCACCTGTATTATGGAGGACAGTCCTATTTACTCAAACTTTATTAATTTAGGTATACATCTCATCCAAAAACCTTCATGGAAACATCCAAGATAACATTTGATAGAATATCTGGGCACCATAGCCCATACAAGTTGACATATAAAATTAACTATCAGGCCCACTTTTTGTTTCTATCCCTGGAACACTTTTTGGGGTTGAATTTTCTTTCTTTCCTTTTTTTAATAGATTTTACTATAGGGTGCGTATGTTTGCTGGAGACACAGAGACAGAAAAAAAATCACTCCCTGGGGGGATGGTCACACAGCAATCCCTTCTCTTCCATTCTCAGGATTTTGGGCGTGCATGCTCAGGTGTCCGGCATGAGTTTTAAGCTTCTGGGTCCAGGATTTGAACCACCGTCAAGTGTGTGAGAATCCAGCAACATAACCGTACACCATCTGCTGGTCCCATAGGGGCTGAATTTTTTAGACATATGAACCCTCCTTTGCTCTATCGCAATGGCTTCCTTTGTTATATTTTATATCCATCGTCCACTCATCCCTGCATCAGTACCCTAGGGTTACCATTTTCTCCGTTTTTTGGACGAGGAGGTGGAGGCTGGGGAGTCCAGGTAATCTGCCTGGAATTTCTCTGTGCGTAACAGACCACATCCGGGTCCAGTCTTGCGGTTCTGGAGCGGAAGTCCTCAATCACTATGGCCCCCGAGTTCCCTAAGTGGATCAGGAAAAACACAGGCTCGGGATGGATCTCAATCCTTCTTGGCCTCACCCCATTCCAGACACCACGAGTCTAACAGTCCTCCCTGTTCTTTGTCTAGGGAGGAGGCAGCGGACGTTATGTATCAGAAAAAGGTGAGCGGCCATGCTAAAGGCACGGGACTTGTTAGCCTTCAGACTTATTCTCTATCCGGGAGAAAGAGGCTTTCCGTCAGGGCACCTGTGACTTTGTTTGGGCCCGCCTAATTGATCCTGAATGGTAAAAGAAAAGGTCTACAGTCATACAGGAAAATCCCAAGGACGATGTTTCTGCACAGATGACTGAACACGATATTCCTTACTAAAGGAGGTGACTGATTCTGGGCATGCGCGTTTCTACACATTTGCCTGCATCCACGCGATCAGGATGTGTCTCATAAGACATGGTATCTTAGCATCGTGTCATGGTTTACAGGGCAACTGTATGTTTTTTCCCTTAAGAGTATTAAAAAGAAAGTCAGTGGTAACTTAGATTTTTTTTTTTTTTTTTGGAGAGGTTTTTGCTATAGGGAAGACAGAAAGAAAGTGAGAAATTGAGAAATCACCCCCACCCCCGGGGGCGGGGGTGGCCATGCCACAGTCCCTTCTTCTCCATTCTTCTCTCAGGATATTGGGCATGCACGCACACGCTCCTGGTGTGAATTTAAACCACCAGGTCTGGGACTCGAACCGTGGTTGGCTACATGGGAGTTAAGCGACAAAGCCATGACGCTAACTGCTGGTCCCAGTGGTAGCTTAGATTTAATGAAATATAGTAGTTGAGTCATGTAAGTGTTAGGTCATATTGACTGTTTCTTACAGTGCTTATTCCTTATGTGACTCTTGGGTTCGCTTTTCAAAATTTTAGAATCCTCAGGAAGTGAATATTAGCTTTTACATGTATATGCATATGTGTGTATAGTGCTATGATTTTTTGGGGGGGGGGTATAAAGCACATGTGCATGCCAGAGAGAGACAGAGACAGAGAGAGAAGGAAAGTGAGAAATCAGGCCCCAGGTAGATGATTACGCCACAATCCCTTCTCCTCTATTCTCCTCTTGGGATTTTGGGCATGCACTCATATACACCTGTGATCTTCAAGCTGCCGGGTCCAGGACTCGAACCATGTGGGATCCAGCCACCTTTACCTCCATACCTGTTGCTGGCTCCAGTCCTATGGATTTTAATTGTGTGTAGATTCATGTAATCACCACCATAAAGGAGTATACAGAGCGATTCCATAATCCTTCAAATCCGCCTTGGGTTGTCCCTTTATAATCCTTCTCCCCTCCCTCAGACGCCCTCCAACCTTTGGCAAACTCTGATCATTTTTCCATAGTTTTGTGTGAGAACATCATGTAAATGGAAGCACGCACTATGAGGGGGCTTCAAAAAGTTTGTGTAACAATGAGTTTAAAATGGGTTTCTTCTGGTGCAAAAAAATAAAACGTGCACACATAGTTTTTGCACAAACTTTGAAAAAGTTTTGCACATTTTCCATAAACTTTTAAAAAGGGAATCATTATTTATTTAATATATTTTAATTTGCTATAGGGCATGTGCACTCTTGAGAAAGAGAGAGAGAGAGGAGAGAGAGCGAGAGAGAGAGCACCACTCTGAGACTCGCCACAGTTGGTCATGTGGGAGTCCAGTCACTTAACCACCACGCCACCTGCTGGCCCTCCATAAACTTTTTATAACCTTACGTGTAACCTTTAGAGACTGACTTTTTTTTTTTTTTTTTAAGAGAGAAATGTTTGCTATAGGGTGTGTGTATGCTTGTCAGAGAGAGAGAGACAGAAAGTGAGAAATCACCCCCAGATAGATGGCCTTGCTGTTATCCCTTCTTTGCTATTCCCCTCTTGGATTTTGGGCACATACAAACGAGCACAGCATGAGTTTTAAGCCACTGGGTCTGGGACTCGAACTGCGGTCAACTATACGGTCAACTATATGGGAGACCAGTGATAAAATCGTTATGCCATTTGCTGATCCCAATTCTGACCTCTTTTACTTATCTTATCTTTGAGATTAGCTCAAGCGATCACATGTATCAGTATCTAGTTATGGAACAGTATTTTCTTGTATGGATGAAACATGATTTGAAGGAATTTGGATTGTTGTTAGATTTTGGCAATTGTGAACAGAACTGCTATAAACATTTGTGTACAGGTTTTTTGTTTGTTTTGAGAGAGAGAAAGAGCATGTAAGCAGAAGATGGGGGAGAGAGAGGTGTTAGACGCTCTCACTGTGGCAGTGCTCTACCCTGCTTCCCAACGACCTGGGATTATAGACACATGTCACCGTGTTAGCCTGTATAGACTGGTCCAGGATCTGAACCTGGATCTCCCATGTGGCCACAGCTTCATGGGAAAATGACTTACTGCTTGAGCCAATACAGCTAGGCCCCTGTGCAGGTTTTTGTGTAAAGATAAGGTTTTATTTCTTTTGGATAAATACCTAGGCATGAGAATGTGGGTCATGTGACATACAATTCCTTTTCTTTTTTTATATATGATCAGTAATTTAATTATATTCTTGGCAAAAAAATTTAGAACACCAATTTGTGAGGATAAGCTCCATTTGTAAGGGCCAACATGGATCGCAGGTAGCCCTGGAGCTGAGGAACAGCTTTGATTTCTGGTAAAATTTGCGAGTCCACAGTTTTCTGATCCATCTCGTGCTGCTCTGAAATCTCATATTTCTCCTTCTCTCTGTCGAAGATCTCTCCTTCCTGGTGTCTGGGCTTCGGCTTCCGCAGTTTCTTTTTCTTGAAGTAAGCATCAGTAAGGTGCTTTGGGATTTTTACTTTGCTAATATCAATTTTCGTGGAGGTGGCAATGACAAATTTCTGGTGTGCTCTACACAGTGGAACTCAGTTGAGAACCAGTGGTCCAGTTACAAGGAGCAGGCCACTGCTCAGCTGCTCCAGGAAAACCACTCTCCTGCCTCTGTGGCGTCCAGTGAAGATGATCAGAATGGTCCCAGGAGTGGTGCTAGCCCGCAGCTTTCTCACACACTGACTGGAGGGTTTTTGCCGTGGCTCAACAGCTTTCGAGTCACATCTTCGGTAGGATAATACCTAGGCATTTTGCGCAGTTTAACCACCCGTGTACCACCATTCTTGTCTCCACCAACTGGTTTTGTGACAGCGCAAGAACCTTCTCCTTCTTTTTCTTTTCCATCCTGGATTTAGTGGCCAAGTATTTCCTCTTGTACGTGGCCTTCCTGGAATACATGGCAGACCGGGAGTATCTGCCGATGCCCTGGACTTGGACCGGGTTTTGGCTGCAATGGGGCTTCCCCTTCTTGGGCTTTTCAGCCTTGGGGTCACGCTTTTTAACCTTGCCACTGGCATCAGCCTTCTTGGCTTCAGGTTTCTTCTCCTTAGTATCCTGCTTTGCAGCTTTTTCATCTGCCATCTCGTATAGTGGGAAAGAGCTCTTTTTTCTTTTTTTTTTAAAGACAGAGTCTTGGCATCCTGTTCACCCTCCTAGTTGGACATACGGATGCACATCACTGGCCTGGTTCTTGGCTCTTCTACCATTTTTAGAAGACAGGGTCTCATTCTACTGACCTAGCCAACCTCACACCTATGATCCTTCTACGCAGGATTTCCTGAGTTGCTGAAATTACAGGCCCTTGTCACTGTGCCCAGCCTTTAGGCGGGACCAAGAATCAAACCTGGGCCTCCCATGTGGTCCCAGCCTGCAGAGCAGGGCGTCATAGTAACACATGCTACCACGGCTGGGCCATCTTGCCTTTTGTGTAACTGCCAAATGGTTTTCCATAATGGTCTTACCGTTGCACTCCCATTAGAATGTGTGAGGATTCTTCGTTCTGTGTCCTCGTCTGCACTTGGACTTGTCGGTGTTTTTACTTTAGTCATTCGAATGGGCATGTGGTGGTTTGCATGGTGAGGTCAGGGAAGTGGCAGGGGTGAGGCCAGGCCTGAAGAGTTTCCTTATACTCTGAGTTAGTTGCACTCGGACTCCTTACACTTTGTTTTACTTTAAGATGTTTAATATGGGGGCCAGCAGGTGACATAGTGGTTACAGCTCTGGACTCCCACATGGTTGACTGCAGTTCAAGTCCCAGGCCTGGCAGCTTGAAAATCACGCTCTGTGTGTGTGTGTGTGTGTGTGTGTGTTCATGCCAAAAGCCAGAGAGTAGAATGGAGAAGAAGGGATTGCAGTGTGGCCATCCCCTCTGGGGGGAGGGAAGTTATTGCTCACTTTCCCTCTCACTGCCTCTCTGTCTCTCTCCAGCAAGCACATGCACCCTATAGCAAAAACCTTAAAAATGTTTAATATCAATTTTTTCTTTCTTAAAAAAGTTAATTTTATTCTTGATAGAGAGTTCATATTTACATGTGAGAGAGGGAGAGGGGAGAGAAAGATTCTTTTTTAAAAAAAGAATTAGTTATTCAATTTTATTTATTCATTCATTTATTTTAATTTGACCAGAGAGAGACAGAGACAGAGAGATAGCAGAGGGAAAGTGGGAAAGCAAGCTGCCAGATCTGGGACTCGAACTGTGGTCAGCCATGTGGGAGTGTCCAGCGCCTTAACCAACATGCCACCTGCTGGTCCCCGGAAAGAAAGATTCTTGACAGAGTCTTGTCATGCCATGACCCACTTTTCCCAGCCCTCCAGCTCATCAGCATCTCGGGCACATACCACGTGGCCTGGCAGGACCTGAACCTGCTGTTGCCCATGTGGTTTCCAGTGTTGCAGTTCAGCAGCTCCTGCCTGGAGGCTGGGCCTAATATCAGCTTTTATTATCTAAAAATACTTGATGAGAGCTGGCCCATAGCTCACAGTTAAGTGGAAGCCAGATCCCACATGGCTGACCAGAGTTCGAGTCCCAGCTCAGGTAGTTTACGCGGCAGCCATGTACACGTGTCCAAGATCCTGACAGGATGGAGAATTGGGAGAGAAAGAACTGTATCCTGCTGGGATGGGGGGAGAGCTGCTTTTCCTCTGCTGCTCTTTCTTTCGCGCATGCACACGCACCCTCTGGCATAGTAAAAAGAAAAAAAATTAAATTGACGAGAAATGAGTGAAATATGGGTGGACATTTTGGGGGTGCTGGTGAAGTCCTGCTTTTCAGTCTGAGTGCTGATTGCTGGGTGCTTTTGCTCTGCGAGAATCCACTGACCTTACCGTTAGGGTCTGTGTGCGCTTTTCCACGGGTATCTTGTGCTAAAGTCGAAAAGTTTGCTGAAAACTAGAGATACTTTTAGACTCTGGGATTGCTCATGAGTAAATCAGATAAAACAATTTTACTTTTCACTGTATAGCCTATTGTGTTGCTTTACCCATGGTTTCATAGGTAACCTTTATAAAATAATATTTAAAGGGATTTTCAGCGTATCAGCTGTAACAGAAGAAAGAAGTGGGCCTCTGCAGGCATGTGATGAAGATTGCCCAAGACAGACTCCTAAGAGGAAAAGCAAGTTAAGGAACAGTATGGTATAGTATGATGCTTAAATAAAGAAAAAAGACTGGGAAGCTATCTACCCATTGACTTGACAGTGTTTATTTATTTACTTTCCCTTAACAGTATCCCTAAGGAACAGGATTATAGTAGGGGGTTGGGACTTTCTTTTCAATAGTATACTTTTCTGTATGGAACTTTTAACAGTGAATATGTATGAGCTTAATAATTACAAAGGGCCATAAAAAATAGAAATGTTGGTCATGGGGGCTGGCAGGTGGCACAGTGGTGAAAAGTCTGGATTCCCACATGGCTGACCGCGGTTTGAGTCCTGGACCTGGAGCTTACTTTCTCACTTTCTCTTTCTCTCTGCTCTGTCTCTCTCTGGTCAAATAAAATGATAATAGTAACAAGAAATGAAATGAAATAAATATTAAAAAAAGAAATGTTGGCTCTAAAATAATAGCACTGAGCCAGCACATGATGTGGAGGTTAATGTGGCTAGATCCCACATGGCCACTTGTGAGGTTCAAGTCCTGGATCCAGCAGCTTGAAAAAAACACACTGGGCACATGTGCATGCATGCTCAAAGTCTCAAGAGGAGAATGGAGGAGAAGGGATTGTGGGAGGCCATTCCCTCTTGAGGTTGCTTTCTCATTTTCCCTCTTTCTCCCTCTGGCGAGCTCTTATGCCCTATGGCAAAAACTGAGAAAGAAAAAAAAAATAGCAATAATGTTAATAGCACTTATGCAGATATTTGGGTCACTGTGAAGACAGTTTTGCCCCTTGGGATATCTTTAATATCTTAACCAAAGCCGATTTGTCTTGGTGGTATCCATAGCATCTGGTTCATGACAGGTACTCACTCTGCCATTTATAATAAAATGAATTCATAAATGAAGTTATTCTTAGGAAAGATTCAAGTTAGTGTCATTGTTTTCACACACTGCTTTCTACTTTCCATTAACCTGCTGTGCTTCTTTTCTCCCAGAACTAGCTTTAATGAGACCCCAGAGTGAGGGGTGGAATCCTGGGGGATGTTAAAGGCTGCCTGTCCCCCTTGTTGGGCCATTTGCTTAGGGCTCACTTGCTCATCCTCTGACGTGTGTGGTTCAGGAGCTGCTTCTGACTTTCAGGATGTTGAAAAAGTGACACTCTGATAATGAAGGCTTGGAGGTGGACTCTTGTCATCTGAGTGCCCTTTACCTTCATGTTTAAAAAAAAATAGTTATGTAATTATTATTTTTCAATTTGCTGTAGGGTTTGTGCACTCACCAGAGAGAGACACACACAAGGGAGAGAGAGAGAAAGAGAAAGTGAGAAAGCAAGCCACCAGGTTCAGGACTCAAACCACAGTCAGCCATATGAGTGTCCAGTCCCTTCACCACCACGCCACCTGATGGCCTTACCTTCATTTTTAAAAGGTTTATTTCGGGGGGTGAGGGGGAGCACCCTCAACAAAGTCTCAGGCTGCAGTCTTCCCCTGGCCTTCCCAACCAGCTGATCACAGGTGTGTGTGTGCTCCCGGCAGGTACGAGTTGACTTGGGAACCCAATCCTGCTCTTCCATATGGCTCCAGCATCACAGAATGGTATGCTGCAGCTGCACCAGCGTGGCTGGCTTCCCTTTCTTTCAGATGCTCAAAGCCTTTCGTTTACCCCCCAACGGTGCTGTGAAATAAGCACTAGTTCCACCCGAAAGCCATGCAACGGCCCGCATTGCCAGTCAGTTCTGGGGGAGGGGCTCTTCTCAGTTCTGTCTGACCACTCTCCCATAACCTTTTGCAATTTAGGGGTGAATTAGAGGCTTCCCACTTGAGCTAACTGTCTTTAACCTCTCTTGGGTTTCCGCCTGTCAATCTCAGGGACTTAAGGTCTTCCAAGTGGTCCTCCTTGCCCAGAAAGGTGCAGTCACCATTTTCTTTTCTTTTTTTTATTCCTTTAATTTATTTGTTATTGTTATTTTTAATTTTGATCAGAGTGAAAGAGAGAGAGAGAAAGCAAGTTTGGGACTTGAACTGTTGTCGGCTATGTGGGAGTTCAGCTCCTGGACCACCATGCCACCTGCCAGCCCCACAGTTACTGTATTCTTACAAGAATGAACACAACAGCCATTTATATACATGCTGTCAACAAGGCTGGTGTCTTTCTTTAACGTTACGGGGCATATACCCAAGGAAAATAAATTGGTATGGTCGAAGAGATACCTGCACCCCCATGTTCTGCAGCACCCCTTAAAATAGCTACAATGTGGAATCAGCCTAAGTGCTAACAACAGATGAATGGACGAAGAAAATGTGGTTTATAGTCACAGTGGAATGGTATTCAACCACAAGAAAACGAAATCCAGTCATTCGAAACAATATGGAGAAACCGGAAGGAAATAATGCTGAATTAAGTAAGCGGGACACTGAGGATAAATACTGTATGTTTGAATTCTTAAAAATTTGTTTGCCATAGGGTATGTGCACTCTATGGGTGGGAGAGAGAGAGACAGTGAGAGGGAAAGCTCCTCAGAGGAATGGCCACACCACAATGCCTTCTCCTCCATTCTCCTGTGATTTTAAATATGCACACACACACGCCCAGCATGACTGTCAAGTTGCCAGGTGCGGTACTCAAATTAAGATCAACCTGTGGGACGCTAGCACCTTAACCACTACGCTGCCTGATGGCTTTTTTTTTTTTTAATTTTAGCTTTTTTCCAGAGGGTACATGCACTCAGTGGAGAGGGACAGAGACAGAGAGAGGGAGAGTGAGAAATCACCTCCCCAGGGGGAGGGGGTGGTCATGTGAAATCCCTTTTCCTCCATCCACCTCTTAGGATTTTGGGCACGGGGAACCAGCAGTTAGCGTAATGGCTATGTCGCTGGACTCCCACGTAGTCGACCGCGGTTCAAGTCTCGGAACCGGTGGCTTAAATCTTATGCCGTGTGCGTGCGTGCCCAAGATCCCGAGAGGAGAATGGAGGAGAAGGGATTGCGGCGTGACCATCCCCCCTGGGGGGGGCTTTCTCGCTTTCTGTCTCTATGTCTCTGTCTCTCTGGCGAGCGCACGCGCCCTATAGCGAAAACCTCTCCAAAACAACAACAACAAAAAAGGATTTTGGGCACGTACACACATGCGCCTGGTGTAATTCTCAAGCCACCAGGTCCAGGGCTCAAAATACAGTTGGTCATGTGGGAGTCCAGTAATGCCACCTGCTGGCCCCTGTTTTCACTTATTAATGGAAGCTAAAAGAGTACACAGCAGTGACGAGTGTATCAATGGACACAGGATGTTGGGGGTGAAGGAGTTGGGGGGTTGGAATGGTAACATGGCTTACTGACCCTACAGCACAGGTCATGGGGACAGAGAGCTCTGGACTGCTGTGGAACAGCTGGGTAGAGAGAGTTGGCAATAATTCATTGTTTAGTTGAAGAGTGGATTCCAATGTATATGATATGAGGTGACAAGGAACATTTGAGAGAGCGGGTGTGTTTATAGCTCTGATTTGATTAATACACAATGGATATATCTTGCGAAAAACCATCTAGTAGTACTCCATGGATATGTATAACTATTATATGTAAGTTAGAAAGTATAATAACAAAAATTGACATGTAAAGAAATATGAAAAGCTATAAAATAGATCATAAATGTAAACATGTAAATCGTGTATACAAGTGCTTTAAAAAAGAATGTCGGGGGCCAGCAGGTGCCATGGTGGTAGTGGCGTTGGACTCCCACATGGCTGACTGGTTTAAGTCCCAGACCTGGTGGCTTGAAAATCATGCCAGGGGCATGTGTATGCATGCTCAAAATCCCAGGAGGAGAATGGAGAAGGGATTGTGGAGTGACCATCGCTCCTAGGGGCTGATTTGCACTTTCCCCCTCTTAGTCTTTGTCTCTCTCCAATGAGCTCATGTGCCCTATGGCAAAAACTTAAAAAAATAAATAAAAGGATAATGGATATCACATAGGAACCCATTGCTAAGATTAAGAAACACCCACTTGGCCGGTATTTCTAAGTCCCAGTGTCTGTCCTTGGTCACGTCTCCACTCCTAACCATTACACAGAGCACCATTCTCCAGATACCTGGTCATTCTTCCCTGGCTTTTCTTCAGAGTTGGACCAGATGTCTATTTAAGGGCCAGCAGGTGGCATGGTGTTTAGGGGGGCGCTGGACTCCCACATGACTAACCGTGGTTCGAGTCCTGGACCTGGCAGCTTCACCTTACCTCTCTGTGTCTCTCCCCTCCCCCTCGGTCAAATAAGTAACAACAACAACAACAAAAAGTTAAATCATTAAAGGGAACCAGCAGTTAGCATAATGGTTATGTCGCTATACTCCCACGTAGTTGACCGTGGTTCGCGTCCCAGACCCGGTAGCTTAAAACTCACGCCGGGCGCGTGTGCATGCGTGCCCAAGATCCCGAGAGGAGAATGGAGGAGGAGGGATTGTGGCGTGGCCATCCCCCCCTGGGGGGTGATTTCTCGCTTTCTGTCTCTATGTCTCTCTGTCTGTCTGGCAAGCGCACGCACCCTATAGCGAAAACCTCTCCAAAAAAAAAAGAAAAAGAAAAAAAGACGTCTATTTACACCTACATAGCATATTCATTAATTTTGCTTCTTTTTGAATGATAAGTACTTTAAATTTGTCCTACTCTGTATTTTCAATTTTTTTAAAGAGGTTTATGCCTTAGGGTGTGTGCAGTCACCAGAGAGAGAGACAGAGATGGTGAGAGGGAAGGTGAGAAATCATCCTCCAGGCGGTTGGCCACACCACAATCCCCTCTCCTCCATTCTCTTCCTGGCATCTTGGGCACACATACACATGCCTCGCATGAGTTTCAAGCCACTGAATCTGGGACTTGAACTGCGGTCAACCATGTGGGAGTCCAGCGACGAAACTGTTATGCCATCTGCTGGCCCTCAGTTTTGCAAATTTTAATTAAAGGCAATTGCTTGAATCTAGAGTCATTAATTTATTTGTCTTTTTTTTTTTAATGAGTGGTCATAGCTAAGCTGGAAATAGTTTTCTATTTGACAAAATTCTCTCTTCGTCATTGCAACCTATTATTCCATTTGC